GGAAGAATAGACAAAGAAATGAATATTTCTGGTTTAGAAACACTAACATTTGTGATATATTAGTATTCACCATACTCAGTAGAAAAGTATTCTGAGATTTAATGAAGGTTTTGAAGACAGGTGCTCAGATATTAATAGAAAAGAATTACACACACACATCTATGCGCACACACACATCTTCTACTTTCATTTCTTTGGGATATTGTAGGGCTGACATGAGGCTTCCAATATTCTGCTGCAGTGAAGGAGTGGCAACTGGAGGCTAGTCTTTTGCTTCAGGCTGAGGAGAATGGGAGTGAAAAATAATAAAGAAGGCAGACTTTTAACTTTGTAGAATGAATTTTATCTTATTAAATCTTTTATTTAATAACTTATTGGGTATTCATTGATGAGACACTATCATGTTGCCATTGTTTCCACTATTTTCTTCTTACTCCTTTCTATTTGCCAGAAGCAGGTTTATATATTTGTTGGTTTTATATTTAACATTTACAGTAAGTTTTTAAGAAATTAATACTTTCAGTGACTTACTTATGAGTGATTTCAAAGTTCAACTTTTAATAACTGTACTCTGGTTGAGTTTTATGGTGCAAAAGTACATTCTGTTGAATATATAGAAGAGTTCCTGACATTCAGTGTAATGTTTCTGTCTAATCTGGTGATCATTTGGGCCAGTCACACTCTCTCAGCCCTGAGAAGCAGGTAATGGCAAATGACATCAAAATCTTGCCAAGACAATTTACAGGACTACTCCAGTTGCAGGAGTCAAGACTGACATGAAGGCACCAAAAAAACAGAGAAAAAAAATTATGGTGGCATAATGTAATGTAATATAATATATATTCTAACAATGGCCATCCAGATCACTATGCACCCATAGAAATGGCTTTTGGTTTTTAAATAAATTCACTGCACTAATCCAATATAATGAAAATAATATTTTTTCTCAGAAAAGGGAAGATTGGAAACTTGTTCTAATCAGAACATCAAAAACTTCTCTGTCCCTTTGCCCAACCCCCCAAAACCAAAAGCCTAATTCAAATGTTCATAGACAACAAGCTAGTGATACACATTCAGGATTTCTTCTTCCAGTGTAAAATCATAATTCTTTTAGCCAACTTTTTCTGCTCCATATGGTTCTTGAGATTCCAAATATTAGGGATATAGACTTAAATAGGTGAAATAATGTGCAATTGTTTAAATTAATAACTTTAACTTTAAGCTTTCAGTAAAATGTGACTTTAAGCTTTCAGTAAAATGTAAGGTGCTTCAAAGCTCATTAAAATATTATTGACGTCTGTTGGATGCATTCACAATATAGAGCATTTAGGGAATCAAACTATATAGCTCAAGAATTTCATATTTTTGAGAGCCTCTATAAATCTCTGAGCTCTAAAAGACTAATTGAGGGATAAAAAATGGAAATTTAACCAGGACCAAATGGAAATGCTGCTAAATTTGAACATCTGGATTTCAGGAGATACACCTGTCAGAAAAGAATTGCAGTTCTTAAGGATCAGGTTTGTAGTTTGAGGGATCTTGAGAATCTGGTACTGATATGAGAAAGCACATTACAGCGATGACAACATACAGTAGGAGATTTTGACCTGATATATCAATTCTGTGCAATCTTTCATGGAAAAACAACCAAGAGACATATGCATTATTAACCAGTGTAGGCTTTTTAGTACATTGAATTATAGTAAATGCGGCAGAAGAACTTTACAAGTAAACTCTCCCCTACTTTCTCTCCCTAAAAATGTCCTGTATTATTCTTAGAATGAAAAAAGGTTAAAAATGTTTTGAAGCAGTGGATTTGGGAAATAATCTCAGAAGAATTTAAGATGAATCTCAAGGTTTACTGACCTTTTAGAAAACCCCAGAAATATCTATCTGAAAATGAGCATTTTCTACAGTTTTTTGAATACTTTCCTCATGGCTGTCTTCTGAAACTGACAATGTAACATCCCAACTCCCAAAGGATGCCTATACAAATTGAGATTAGGTCAATTATATAATTTATTTTTATTTATTAAATTTATATGCTACACATCTCACTGTCAATAACTCAGAAAATTGCATTCTCACTCTTGTTTGAAGTTAATATAGCTTTTATTTTAAAAAATAAATTCTAGGCCACCCAAATTATATATTCAATATCTGTTAGCTGACAGATAAGGAAAATATTACTGGCTAAAATATATATCTACAAAAAATGCTGATGAATCCTTTAACTAAGGACTGTGAGGAAGGAAGGTGACCTTAATAGAAATATGAGGCTGAAATATTGATTAAGTTCTGAGAAACAATACAGTATTAGAAAATGGTTCAAGTAAACCTCTCTTGTTCAATGGAATGTAAGGAGGGGAAGTACAGCCCAGACTTTCAAAGTGCTGTTATTATAACTCAGAATACAGAATGCCAGAGTTGGAAGGGACCTTGGCGGTCTTCTAGTTCAACTCCTGCTCAAGCACAAGACCCTATACCATTTTAGACAAATGGTTGTCCAGTTCCTTCTTAAAAGCTTCCAGTGTTGGAGCACCCACAACTTCTGGAGGCAGGTTGTTCCACTGGTTGACTTTTCTTATTGTCAGGAAATTTCTCCTTAGTTCTAGATTGCTTCTCTCTGTTCAGTTTTTATCAATTGCTTCTTGTCTTGCCTTGTGGTGCTTTGGAAAATAGGCTGACTCCGTCTTCTTTATGGCAGCCCCTTGGTAAAATGTAGCTCTGGTTGACTTCAGGAGTTGATCTTTTGGTCTGATCTACCAAGTGGGGTTGAAAGCATTATGCAAGTATCTCTTGGGGTATAAATACTGTATGTGAATGTTTAAGGCTTTATTTCTATTGTTAAAACTTTATAAGCAAACCTCTCTCAATATAAATAATACATGTGGCTGAATGGTATATTGATATTTCAAGTTTTAATTGTTTTAATATTCTGCATCTTTCAAAAGACTTACATTTTATATTTCTCCTTAATATATGACTGTGTGCATGTGTGCACCAAATCTCTCAGATTACTTACAAATTTATATTCAAATGTTATTTATAAGCATGAGCATAATCATTTTAATGAAATTAGGAAAAACAGTAGTAAAAATTTCTTGATACAATGTCTGAGGCCTATTAATGGAAAACAGATACTCTGTGAAAGCCCAGCAGGAGTTCTAAAGTCCCTCTTGGCCTTTGAATCCAACTTACTGCATAGCCCAAAATCTCCTAATGCAGTGTTTCTCAACCTTGACAATTTTAAGGCATGTGGACTTCAACTCCCAGAATTCCACAGCCAGCAATGCTGGCTGTGGAATTCTGGGAGTTGAAGTCCACATGCCTTAAAATTGTCAAGGTTGAGAAACACTGTTTGAGTAATCAGTGGCCTGAAATAAAAGCAGTCAATCATCTTAAAAACTGTCCTGAGTGATTTGCCAAGAAATCACAAATAAGTAATAAAAATTTAGTTCACAAATATATGGAAATAAAAATAACAGATTTTTACAAGTTGACTGAATATACAATCCTAGTTATCACAGCATCTCTAACTTCTGCATTATAAGTCCTATACTTACCTTACTACACACCTTATCATACATCAGGAAGCCTCTTTATATTGAAATTCTAACTCCTTCATGGACTTCCTATAAAACACTGTCCACAGCATTTTCTTCAACTTACAAAAATGATGAACATAACTTTATTTGGCAGCATTAGTAGTAGTCAATAGGTAATGCAAGGCAATCTGTATCTGTCAATCTGGAAAGAGGCACTGATCATAACAGCACAAAAATAGGCGCTAAGAGTTAGATCCATAGAAGAAAGGCTCTACTATAGTAGAAATGACCCAAAGTGTAGACTATGCAGAGACCTCACAGATAGTTCAACACATACTGGCAAGGTGCAAGATTCAGGCAGGAACATGTACTAAACAGCACAACCAAGTAGTTGGCATTGTGTATAGGAACATCTGCACAGTTCATGGGCTAGATTCTCCCAAGTCCAGGTGGAAGATTCCATCATGGAGAATAATAGGTTTAAGATTTATATATATCTCCCGCATCAAATTGGAAGTGTCTTGGCAATGTTTCGACGAAGTCTCATTCGTCATCTTCAGGCTGGTGTTTTCTGCTTCGTGCTTCTAGGAGCAATGTGTGATCGTAGCTGTTTCTTCCTTTTAACTGCCAGTGGGGGTATGAACTGATTGGATGAGAGCTTGGCTGTGTTCTGACTGGATGGAGGTGTGTTCTGATTGGTTAGGAGCTAATGTATGACTATATCACATCTTTGATTCAGATACTTTTACTTTAATGCATGTGTTTTATATGCACAATCAGGAGCATTCTAGTGAAGTAGATGATGATGATTTCTGATCTTCCCTGCTGCTTCTGACAAACAAAGTCAATGGAGAACCCGGCAGAAAGTTGCAAGTCACTGTCATGTGAGGTTCTCCCTTAATGAGTTGTGGTGGTGTAGTGGTTAGAATGCAGTATTGCAGCCTAACTCTGCCAAATGCCAGCAATTCAAACCTGACTGGCTCAAGGTTGATAAAATGAGGACCCAGATTGTTGGGGGCAATATTCTGACTCTGTAAACTTATAGCAGGCTGTAAAACTCTATGAAGCGGTATATAAGTCTAAGTGCTATTGCTAATTAGGTGTACTTGTGCTGACCTCACTTAACAATGCCCAAACTGCCATTGCTAAGTTGTGTAGTCACACGATTTTTCAACTTGTGACCATGTTGCTTAACAATGGAGCTTCCAGTCCCAATTAGCATCATTGTAAACTACTTATAGATTAGTTGTGCTTACAACTCACACAAGAAAAAAGTTAATTTAAAGGATTGTGAAATGTTCAGGATTTTCACTTTATTAGTGGCATTTCATGTGGTTATAGAGATTAAGAATTTGGATGCAGCAGTAGTATAGTAACTTAATGTCCATTCTGAAAAAAATGCAAAGAAATTTCAATGAAGGGTTTTCTGTAGAGAAAAATAGAACACGTCCATTTAAATATTATACTCTCAGGCAAGTTCTTTATTTAGCCACATGGTAGAAAAGTACAATATTAAAAATGCTATGTTGCTTATTTATTCAAGTGAAGGTATAAAAATTATAAACTTTGAATCTTCTCAGCAGACATCTCCAGCAACTGTAGTATCAAAAATTTGATAGCAAAGTCTGTTTTCTGTTCCATCTCTGACATAGTAAGATTTGATAAAGCATTCAAGCCATGGGAAGTCATCTACAAATGAAAGGCAAATGAAATGAGAGAGGGTTTTTTTTTGTGTGTACTGTACTTTATCACTCTGACCTATTTCCAAAAAGGTGTTACAGGGCTGGAGAATCACTTTGTGAAATAAATATAAAAAATAATTAGCCAAAACTCAGCATGAAATTCATATATCTCAAAAGGCACTTCTGATTCTATCACACATTTGTACTTCTAAAGAGGAAAATCTATTTCTTAGAATTCTGTTACATGGCTTAAATTCAATCATAGTCCTTGCTCTTACAGAGATAACTTGTCGATGCAACACAAAATTATGCAGAAGCTAACTTAATGTTCTATCCTCTTCCTCAAAAACATCAGACATCTTTAATTCACAAATACAAAATATATAGTGAGGAATATAAACTACTTTTGCAGCAAACAAGTCTAATCCTGCTGACAAATGCACAGATTGCACTTAGGATTATAAATCTTTTTGTGAGGCTTATGGGAAGAAAAGTATTTATAAAAATTAGAAAAGACAACTTACACCATCTGTGATTTTGTTTGAAGGGACAGCAAATCATTTATGTGTGATTTTGACTGACATGGTTAACACCTCACAATACAACAGTGTTTCCCAAACTTGACAATTTTAAGGCATGAGGACTTCAATTCCCAGAATTCCACAGCCAGCAACGCTGGCTGTGGAATTCTGGGAGTTGAAGTCCACATGCCTTAAAATTGTCAAGTTTGGAAAACACTGCAATACAATGTAGTTCTTACACTGAGCATAATGGAAGTGTCATATAAAAAATAGGACTCCACTATTGAGAATATTCCTTTTCTCCAATATTACATAGATCTTCTCTTGCATGTTATACTTTTCTATATATTCACTCTTCAAGATGGTGCTACAGATTCATCAACTTTACTGGAAATCAAAGCATATGTTTTGCTGTTTCAAAGGCTCCTTCTATCCAATTAGTTTTAATCTGCCATGTTTCAAGTACAGCAGCTCTTTTCACTGATTAGTTTTATGGAATTAAGCCTATAGGGCTGCCATCATATTTTACTGTCATTGCTACCAGCCCTTCCCAGACTATAGGTTAATGATCTGATATACATAGTGAACTGGAATTGTAAATGATCTCATATACATACATTTTAAGTTATGAAATGACAAATTTAAAGGATAGACTTCAAAGAAAAAAAATGGCTAAATTGCCCTAATAATATTTTTGGGGTAGTGGTGATGGTAGAAAAGAAGGACTCTATTATCTTTTCCAAGAATAGAATGACAATGCAATTACTGTCTTAAAAATATTGTGTATCTTTGAGGGCAATTCTTCCTAAGAATTTAGTTGCTTGATCTGCCCCACACATTTTTGTTAGGCTCTTCGCAATCACATAAATTTTCTTCATGATGACCTATCCTTAAGCTGGTCCTTCAGTTCTTCCAATCATGCACCCGTTGCATTCTTAGCATCCAAATGAACAGATTTTTTTCCAGGATGATCTTGCATAGCATTTAGTAAGTTTGAAAGCCAGCTTAGTGAAGTGGTCAAGGTATCATCAGGCTAGAAACCTGAAGACTGTGAGAAAAAACTTGCCAAGAAAACTGCAGGGACTTGTAAAAGCAGTCCCCAAGGATCGGACATAATTGAACGGAATAAAGTAAAATACAAAACAAAACCCTGAACTGGATGCACTCAAAACAAAATAACCAACATAAAAGCATAACTTTTGCAAATATTTTGCTGTAATGGAAAAAAAAGAGGGAAATTAAGTCTTGACTTCCTGTCAGAGAAAGTTTACTAAATAGCAAAATATTTCAGACAGAACTTTTCAGTAAACTTCAATACTTCAATAAATCTCAAAGCTAATCACTGACATATTTCTGATCTGCAATTCTCCCACAAAAGTCACTGAGTGAATGGTGATTTATTTCTAGACTATAATGGATGAATTTAATTGTTTAAATTCATACTAACTGGTTTCTGACCTTGGTTTGTGAAAAAAATTGGCAACATGATAGACATCCTACTTGCGTTTTTGAAAATTAGCTTTAAAGTAATCAAATTTATATTTCTACCTATAGAAATAGGAATTTGGCAGTTCTCTATGCGGGCTTTCATGTTAATACTTAAAGATGATTCCAAAATAGGCTTCCTTTGTTATACTTGATAGCAGCTGTTTTGTGATATGCTGTAATAGCTTATCTTATTGAAGTCAAAACATTGCCAGAATACCAAGAATGACCCTTTTCAATTAATACTTTTTTTTATTCATTCCAATTGTTTGACAGGTAATGTTTAACAGGACATTTATATATTTGTTATAGTTTCCAATTACTTTTAGATTCAATTCAACATCTTGACTAGAGATTTTTGCTTGAATACCTGAAGGACTGCTTTTATATTAAGAGTTTATATTCATTCTTCAGAAGTTAGGAGCAGTACCTTCCTACTATAGAAAAGAGATTTCACTGACTCTTTGCTCTTTTTGTAGAGATAGGCAAAAATCTGTTCTTTGTATGGAGCCCTTTGTGGTTCTGTTATTCTAGAGAATGCTAGAGTATAGAATTAGAGAATTCTAGCCATTGCTGCTGTTATTTTCCTTGCTCAGAATTAATAGTTAAGAATATGATTCCAAGATATCTGGTACTTGCTTTCTTATTTCATAAAGCACATTTTTCTCTATTCACTTTACGTTTCTCCATCCAAACATCCCATTAGAACACTCTTTTTTTGGCTATTTCTTCTCCTTCAACCAGTAATAATCAAGATATTATATCAAGATATTATGATTAGTAGTCACATAATCAACTAGAAGTTCAAAATGGATTGGGCCCTTTTGTCCAGTTATTGAGTCCTTCCCAATAACCTAGGATAGGCAAGTGTTGTTGTTTAATGATATTAAAGGTAATGTCTTAGGATGTAAGTTGTTCCAAGTAAAGCTGCGTTTTGCAACTGGTTGATGGTGATTTTGTTAATGCCAATGGTGTTCAAGTAGTGCTCCATATGTTTTGTGATTGCACCAAGATGCCTATTACTATTGGTACTAGCTTTGATTTCTTTTTCTAGTCATCCTAGTTCTATCTGGGTATCTTTATATTTTGTGATGATGATTGATGATTTATTAAATTTATAAGCTGCCTGAGTTTAATTTATAAATAATTTAAACATGAGCAGAAACTAAAAAAGGTAGACATAGGCAGAATAATAAACCAGGTAGAAACAAAGAAAACAACTAAGTTAAAAGGAAAGTTTAGTCATCCTTGCCAACAGCCTAGGCAAGGAGCCAGATCTCCAGGGCCCTTCAAAACAGCAGAGTGGGGGCTATTTGGATCTCAGGGGGAACCCCCTTCCAGAGAGCAGGCCCTGCAACAGGAAAGGTATGCTTCCAAGGTCCTGATAAATGGCATTGCTTAATTGAGTGGGTCAACTCTGCCATATTGAAAATGCCAGTCAGATGCTATGGGAGATAGCTGAATACCTTCCTTCTTTTGTCCCTCAACCTACAACTTTCATTCCTTTTTTGTAACCAGAGACCTTTTAGGATGTGTTGATCAAAAAGATCTCAGTTATATTTTCATGGCAACTAACTGCAACTAACCTAATGATTAGGTGTGAGCTGGCAGGTGAATTATCCTTAATGAAATGTTTAACATTGGAAGAATCTAATATAAATGTCTGTCTTTACAGAACATAACCAAACGGACAAAATATATAAATTAATTTATTTTCCTGTCCTTGGGGTTAGGACAAAATGCAGTATAGACAGATGTAACAGACAAATATAACAGATACATGAATAATAAAAGATGCATAATATAAGTATTATCTGCATAATTTCATCAATATAAATTCCTTACCTAGAGTTCTGCCTGCAGGGCAAAGTCTATTCATGAGCATCTCCATATTCTCTTGAAATGTATTATTGATTAAGACTTCAGAAGCTGGAATTTGGAAGAATTTTTTCTGGAAGAAAGAATAAAAATAATGTTGACATTATTAAACAGCCTGTTTTTCTTCCAACGATTTCATTTTGGAATGAGAACTGAAAGTCTTAGAATAGAAATTAATTATATGTTTTAATAAAAGCTTTTTATTTTCTTCTGTCCTGTTTGGCTGTTGTATGGTACAGCAACCAAACAAGACAGGTAAAGAGTTCAACGGATACTTAGAACTGCAGAAAAAAACAATTGCAACCAGCCTGCCTTCCATTGAGGACCTGTATACTGCACAGATCAGGAAGAGGGCTGAGAAAATAAGAAGAGGGCTGAGAAAATATCTACAGGCCCCTCACATCCTGGACATAAACTGTTTCAACTTCTCCCCTCAGGACGATGCTAAAGCATTGCAGGCCAAAACAAGTAGGCACAAAGATAGTGTTTTCCCCTTGTGTTATTACTCTGCTGAACACCTAATTACCACAGTATTGTCTTATGTCAAAGGGTATTTACCCATGTAGTATAGCTGTATTAGTATTATCCTTCTCATCTTTTCTACTACCTTCTCTTATTGGTATCTTACGATTATATTACCTTCTTGTCTGTATGAACATGTTGTTTGTATATTTGTATGTACATTGATTATATTACAATGATATATGTACACTGCACCAGAGAAAAATTCCTTGTGTGTCTAGTCACACTTGGCCAATAAAATATTATATTCTACTCTAAAAGCTTTTTATTAAATAAATTGTTTATTTAACAAAAGTGTCCCAGTGAATTAAAGATACATTTAAAATAGGAAAAAAAATCCAGAAGGATGTTCCAGGAGGATTGGAAAATAAGTAAAAAGGTTGAAACCAAGTCCACTGCAAGTGTCCTTCTTGACGTATTTACGAAGGCACTTGTATTTTTCAACCAACTATACATGGAATTGGCCGTACCTTTTTTTAACTATATAGTCCTTGGCATCTTCACTTTGCTAAAAAATAACTTTGACCAAATGTAAATTTAGACTTAACCTAATTAAGTCAAGAGACCAATATTCTACTCTCTTACACTGTCCAGGAGATATACATCCAATGTTCCTGTTCCATCATCCAATGTAAACTTCATCACGAAGACGTACTCGAGCGGTGCAATTCCTAACTCTAAGCAGAAGCAGACCAAAAACTCTATTTAAAAATGACTCAAAGGCAAGAACGCACACACATATATCGGTGTTGTCTAGGATACAACCTAGCATACTTGAGCTCAGGATTTCTGCACGCTAGTGAAACAGAGCTGACTCATTCCTCTGTAACCCCTTGACCAAATATGATCAATACTTCAATGAAAGGTGCTCAAAAGCTTTTTGTCATTAGAAAGCAGCTTACAAGCTGTGAATTTAGTGTAAAGATAAAGAAACACTTCAATAGCTCTTTTATCTGGGCATATTAAACCTAGTTGCTATTGTGGTAGAATCATTTCAATTACACAGAATTATTCCTAATCTAGACACTAGGAAAATGCTATAGATCAGAATTTCTCAACCCTGGCAACTTTAACTGGGTGGATTTCAACTCCCAGAATTCCTCAGTCAGCAACTAGTTGGGAGTTGAAGTCTACCCAGTTAACATTGCCAGGGTTGAGAAACACTGATCTATAGATTCTTTGAAACAAAAAGTTTCCTGCAGAAATCCTTACACGATATACCTCACTAAAAAAACTATTTTGTATAACCAATTTCTAATACAGGATTCAATGAAATATGATTGCAGTTGAATAAAAGTATACCTCTAAATCAGTAGTTCTCAACCTTTTTAATGCCGCGACCCCCAACCGGTCGTAAGTCGAGGACTACTCAACTGGTGCAGCACCATTTGCAGAATGGGACTTTTGGCGGGCTCAGCAGGGCAGAGACAGCCTGGACAATTCCTATTGGCTTTTGAAAGCCAATAGAATTAGACTCTATTCAAGAGAGTCTATTCTATTGGCTTTCAAAAGCCAATAGAATAAAAGGGAGTAGCATAGCTAAGGAAAAGGGGAAAAAAATGGCGGACTGCATTGTTTGGCGACCCTCGTGAAATGGTTGTTCGACCCCAAATGGGGTCCCGACCCACAGGTTGAGAACCACTGCTCTAAATGATCATCATAGGCTATTTTTAAAATAATGCTTGCTTTAGCACAGCTTTTCTTACCTTGATTTGAATTTTAACCTATTGGTGGACTGTAGAAATTTAAATCTAACACATGGGGAGTCAACTTTTAAAAAAGTTGTTTTACTATATTAATTTTGGAATATCTATCATTTGTTTATATTTCTCACAATTTGCTGGTCTAAAGGGTAGGCTCACTATATATTCCAAGGGAATTTCTGTTACAGCAATGCTGTCTAATATATTGCTGTTTACAGAGGACTTCTCATTATGCTTTCAGGTGAATCAAAATTAAGCCTTCTATAAAAAAAAAAAAAAGCAACATTTGAAGAGCTGGGGCTGTGATTCAGTCTCTCAACTTTTCAGAGGGCTGCAAGAAGCCACTTCCTGGGGACATGGAGTTCCAACTAGAACTTAACAGGATATCTTTCCACAGTAGAAATTGGATTAAATGGGCTGTGTGGGAACCAGCAAGGTATCCGAAAGATCTGACTTTTCCTAAGACTAGATTAGGAACATTTTTAGAACACTACTTTAAGGCAGGTATGATAAAATCCCAATAGCTGAGCTAATGTGTACATGTGGCAATGGGGAAGTTGAAGACATATCACATGTCTTGTGCTGCAAGTTCTAAGGGGACATCAGATCAACGTACATTCTCCCTCTATTAGAGAAATTTCTAGGGAAATCAGTTAAATTTTATGTGAACCATTTTCTTTAGGATTCAAATCCAGCCACCACTTGTGCAGTAGCAAAAAATTTGTGCTGTTGTAATGATAAGGAAAAATTAGTTAAAGAACTAAAGATCCTTATTCTTATGAATACTTTAGTTATTTTCTAATAATTTTAGAAAATATATATTTTAATGTATAGATGTTAGTTTTATTTGTGTTAGATAGACAAGGTATTACACATAGTACTCAAGATACTGCCCATTCCATTCGTACCTTGAGAATTCATGGGAGTGAATCTCGTACCTTGAACGAGATCACTCCCTGCTTTTGCCCACACATTCAAATGGATGAGCGAATGTGCAATTCGCTAAGAGCACATGAGGTATCTCAGGGTGGAGAAGGCCAAGGGGGGGGGGGCTAGTAATGGAAAACGCCCCCAAGGCCTCACCAACTCACTAAGATATCTCATGCTTTTCCCTCCCTTCCTGCCGTGCCGGACTCACTTACCTTGAAAAAAACATGTCTCCTCTCTGCTGCGGTTTCTGCCTTTGAGAGAGAGTTGAGTCGATGGAAGCTCCTGGGTGCCGTAATATTGTGCGAATTCATGCACCCATCCTCTTTTGTAAAAAATGGGTGCCTGAACTCTCACAGTGTTTGCGGTGCCTGTCTTCTCTTTCCCCAACTCCTTTCCGCCACCGCTGGAACACTTTTCACCAGTTTGGAGACCTTAAGGACACTGGAAGCTCCATCTGCCTACCAATGGGGTGCTAAGAAGTGGACGGAATGCTCCATTTCTTAAATGCCCTATTGGCAGGCAGACGGAGTTTCCAGTCTCCTTAAAGTTTCCGTCCAGGCAAAAAGTGTTTGAGCGCCTATGGGGCGTTTGGAAACAAAGAATTTGCCCCATAGGATTTCAAACACTTTTTATCCAGACAGATACTTGACAGAGACTGGAAATACTCCCCCATTTCCTCACAGACGGAGCTTCAAGTCTCCCCAAGGTCTTCATCTGGATAAAAAGTGTTTCAGCGCCTATGGGGCACTTCCAAACACAGCAATTCTCTTCATTTTGAAGTGCCCCATAGGCGCTGAAACACTTTTTATCTGAACAGAGACCTTGGGAAAGACTTGAAGCTCCGTCTGTGAACAAGTGGGATTCTCTTTGTTTTAAAGCACCCCATAGGTGCTGAAATACTTTTTATCTAGAGACCTTGGGGAGACTTGAAACTCTGTGAGCAAATGGATGATTAAAAATGCAGCTCACAGATGCAGCTTCCAATCTCCCCAAGATCTTCGTCTGGCTGAAAAGTATTACAGTAGTGATGGAAATTAATTAGGGGAAAGGAGACTGGCACTGCAAACACTTTTTGCTCCGAAAATGAAAGTTTCTGGGGTCTGTGATCTTGCAAAAGTTCAAGCACCATTCTCTGCAAAAGAGAATGGGTGCTTGAACTTGTGCGATATTACGGTATCCAGGAACTTACATTGACTCTCCTCTCCCTCCAAGGCAAAGAAACAGTGGCAGAGAGGAGACAGATCTTTGCAAGATGAGTCTGGTGTGGCAGGATGGGAGGGGAAAGCAGTTGTGCAGAACGGGGATGGAAATAGGGTGAATGTTGCAGAACCTTTGCAGTTGTTCATAGGAGAGAAAACTGCCAAATTACATTTGTAATTTTGGGACTTTCTCATAAATACTAGGGCAGTGATGGCGAACCTTTTAGAGACTGAGTACCCAAATTGCAACCCAAAACCCACTTATGTATCGTCGGGTGCCGGGTGGGCATGGCCCATTGCGTGGCTTCGATGGTAACCCCAGACTGGGTGGGACTAAAAAGTTCAATCAATCAATTCCAACTTTGTGAGATCTTCTTTTCCCCGCGAGAAGTTGAAATTGATTGATTGACTGAACCTTTTTTTTTTTTTTTTGCACACAGTGGCGGAGGCCTAAAGCAAAAAGGTTTTATAAAACCCAGCTGAAGGCCTAGGACTGGGATGACGGCATGAGTGCCCACAGAGAGGGCTCTGCGTATTACCTGTGGCACGCCACCACGGTACTAGGGAATGCTTATCGCATAACTTCGAACAAGTGTTAACTGAAAGCTCGTAACTTGGGGATTACCTGCATTGTAATTAGGTGTTTAGAATATACCATGCTTGATTTGTTTTATAATTGCTAATATGTAACTGTACCTACATCTCTTTCTTGATCCTGATCGTATTTCCTGGTTTCTATTGCTCATTTTATTATTTAATGTTGCTGGTCATTGACCGAATAAATACATTTCAAATTCCTTATCTGACCACTGTCTTAATTGTGGATTTTCTTCCTGTTCCTCAAAGTTATTGTCATAGCCCTTAATACCTTGATTTCTATCCTTAATTTTGAAAAATAAACCACATACACTTCAACATTTCTTTAGTTCATTGCAATTAGCAATGGGATGATAGAATGCTCCATGTTGCATATCAGTTGTGAGTCAGCCATGGCAGTCTAATTGTTAATTGGAAAAGTAGATTTTATGGAAAAGTAGATTTCTGACATTACTTATCTAATAAAATAACTGCATCTAAACTCATTCATTAACAATGAATGTTGCTTAAGGAAGTGAGATTATTCATCTTTGCTTATCTTTCTAATTTTTCTTTTATAGTCTATGCAAAAATTACAATCAATAGCAGAAAAGCTAACAAATGCAATCTGTAATACATTCCTTAGCAGGACAAAATGCCTGCAAGTGACAAAAGCAAATACATAAAATTAGGCAAGGGTTGTTTTGTTGGTTAAAGCTTACATTTGTTAAGTTATCTAGAAAGGTAAGGATTTAAAATGTTTCCATCAGCAATATAATAAAAAAAAAATTACAGAGTAGAAGGTGTAACATATGTTGATAAATATTTAAAGTCTAGCCAGTAATTGCTCATTGGAATGTAATGCCAAAAGCTTGTGTTTTAAAGATTTAGCTGGTAAGCTTTCACAAAGCTATTCATTGATTTTGATGGAAAGATGTAATTGTTTGCAAATTATCAATTCTTATATCTATTTTCTACTTTTTTTGGTCTATATGCCCTATTTAAATACCAAAATAAACACTAAAGAATACAAAATCCTGCATGTTGTATTTGTTTCCTAAACACAAAGTGTTTTATTTATATATGAATTATCATTTAATTTAGCTAAATATATTGTTCCCTTTTTTCACCTGTGGATGTTCTACAGATGTTGTACAATTTAACCACCTTGTGGCATCTATCATAAGCAAGACAGATTTAGGCATTTCCTTGCCAGCTGAAATAATTTGGCTACTTTAAATTACACATAAACTGCTGAATGAAAGTCCAATATTATTGAATAGCAGAAGAATATCACATAACCTTGTGCTATAGAAGTGTATTCCCAAGATGGATTTTGCTGTGAAGCAAGGCAATCCAGACTTTCCATAGCTTTAGGTTTGGAACAGTGCTTGCACCTAACATTTGGAACAAAATATCAGTTAAAAATCACCATAAATCATATAGATTCAGCTGGTCTCAACATCATGCTTGTTGATAGGAAATTTCTTGCTACTTCAAATACAGGTTTTTGTTTTAAAAAAGCTCTGGAAAGTAATGGCTTTTATAAATCGTTGCCCACAAAAATAGATTATTTCACCACACAACCTAAAGGAACATGCAGAGAACTGGACATTGGGGTGTTCCTAAAACTCTATTTGCTGATTCTGGTTTCTAGTCTAATGCCTTAGCCATTACAACAAACTGGCTCTTAGTTTAGTTGGGCAACATCCTTATTGTCTTTTTGGCACCACTTAACAGCATTCATAAAAATACAATACAAAAATACAAAATAAAATCAGCAAGAATCTTCTTCCAAACTTCTAATGTATCAATTCTGCTGCGATTTTTAAACTTTTTAATTGTTGATTTTACTTTCTGTTATTGCTTTAATGTTTGTCTTGCTGATTTTATTTTTGTATTGTATTTTCATGAATACTGTTAATGAAGTTTATTAATTGTTTACACCTATTACTTGTAATTACAATATTTAATTGTAAACTACTGAGGTAATTTTAAACAGTGAACAGTAAAACACACACAGGGGGAAGGAGAGGGAAGCTGGTCCCTTTATGTGTACATTTAAAAGATAATGCTTTGCAAAACTTAGGAATATTTTTGGTGAAAGCTTTGCATAGCTCTATGGTCATACTACTTTGAAATTGCTCAAACTCATCTGATCTCAGAAGCTTGTTTCAGAAACTGCCTGGGAATACTGCACTTTGGTGGTTAAGATACCAGGCTAGAAACTGGGAGATTGTGAGTTCTAGTCCTGCCTTTGACCCAACGCCAGCTCAGTGACTTTGGGCCAGCCACTCTCATTTAGCCCTAGTGGTATAGAGTGTATGCTTGTGTGAGCGGGACAGGACAACTGGGAAGGAGGAAATGGCAAACAATTTCTAAAAAAAACCTTTCCAGAAAAACTGCAGGGACTAATTTAGAAACATGCCAGGAGTCAACAGTATGAATAAATCTTTCAGACTAATCTTACCTTATGTTTTCATGGAATAATTTTCTTAACAGATTGCTATAATGCTGTAATAAACGTATCTTGATTTAGCAAAGCAAAGCCATCTATGATAGTGTCATAGGGCAAAATTGTCTGTCCATCCATCCATCTCTAAAGACTGGATTAGGTTAGGGATACTGTCTAGTGTACACTCAGTGAATGATACTGGGTCAGATAATTCTTTTTGAAAGTCTATCAACCTGTTGGACATAAAATTGGTTGACTGCCATGTTAGGCCACACTAAGTCATTTGGAATGAGTACAGCCCCAATCGATAAATCACTGTCTTTAAAATTTTTTAACAATATACTTTTCTAAATTATTATATGGTATAAACTTTTCTGTAGCTAAGATAAATTGGATGACAAGACTGTAGTACGTGAAACACCATAATCCATAAAGTTTAAGCTATATTTTTTTCAATTTGCTCATTTTATTATGTGCCAACAAGTCACTATCGATTATTGATCACATAATTTTCTATGATCAATTTGTTCAACTATAGGATAAATTAAAATGAACTATGTAGCCTGAGCTATTTGTTATGGTTAATTATTTTCTCAATTTATTCATAATATAGCTTCTCAAACATTTCATACTTGCAGATCAGAGGTTTAACCATCAATATTTGATTAAGTAAACAAAGCTGAATATGTATACATATATTACTTTATGCTTATGTTTGCATTTACCCATAATACTGCATGTTTCCTTCCCAAAAATATGGAACTGAAAGATCCAACAGCACAAGACTGTCTTCTTTGGATGCCACTGGTATAATTCCTTTAAATTTTTTAGTGAACCTCAAGATTTCATTCAGAGTCCCTCCTATAAAAAAAAATTAAACAAAATCTTGATTATTTAAATAGTATTATATTCATTGAACTACCACATTAATGTTTGGACATTAATGCATCTGTAGTTTGTAGAAACAAATGTAGATGTCACATGATTAGGAGAAGAGGAGGTATATAAACATTTCACAGCTGCTGTCAAGATTCCGACTGATGATCCCAACGAAGTAAGCATAGCTGAGACATTCCAATCTCTAATGCAAAACTTTATTGAGTACAGCATATCGGCACTGATGAATAGAAAATCAGCTCTGGCGAAAATGGGGCCAGAACAGTAAATTAAAAGTGTAGAACCTTTCTTCCCCTCTGATTGTGCAGGTCACATCCCCCAATTAAGTGTCAGACATTTGTTATGAGAACATTCTTCAGTTAGTTCCTAGCCCAGCCATTCTGTGATGACCTTGATTCCCAGGCTGGACCGTTGCAGAACCGTTTGCAGGGCACTCCAAACATTCCCCCCTCCCTCCCCCAAGTCTGTTGGCAAGCAGAGAAACAACAATGGCTGAAGCAGAATAAGTTTTTTTGGTGCTTGACAACTACATTGATTGTTAAATATTAAAATGTAGGTTGACTGTTTAGAACTCAACTCTGATTGTTACTTTCAATTTTTTAAATTAAAAAATCTCAGCACACCACATAAAATCTTCCTAACTGCAACCATCACCAATTATCCTCCACTACGGAATAATTCAGACTTTCATACACAGGTAATCCTCAACTTACAACACTTCATTTACTGACTGTTCAAAGTTACAACGGCACTGAAAAAAGTGACTTATGACCATTTTTCAACTTATGACCACTGCAGTATCCCCATGGTCACGTGATCAAAATTTGGATGCCTGGCCACAGACTCATATTTATGATGGTTGCATATCCTGGGGTCATTGCAACCCTTTTATGAACAAAGTCAATGGGAAAGCCAGATTTACTTAACAATCATGTTATTAACTTAATAACTATAGTGATTCATTTAACAACTATGGCAAGAAAAGTCATAAAATGGGGCACCATTCACTTAACAAATTTCACTCAGCAACAGAAAATTTGGGCTCAATTGTGACTGTAAGCCGAGGACTACCTATATTGAGCTGGAAAAACAAACGAACTGTGCTACATGTAATTGACTTTAAATCCCCCAATTCCAAATGATTGCCCCCAGAGGTTTATGAAATATGGAACACTGTGAGAAACTGACTGGTAATGGCTACATTATATCTTTTTGCGGAGAATTCTGAGAGTTAGTTAATATTATTAGAAAGTATCCAGTCTGTAGACGGCTGCATTAGAAATCTCAGCAGAATCCAAATGGGCATATTCCCTTGTCTAGCTTCCAATATATAATGATGTGTCCCTATTAAATCTGTTTATATCACAACATATTTGATTTTTTCACAAATGTTAGTCACATCTGTTAATGTTAAGTATGACACTTAAAAAGCTGCCATAAAGTTGAATGACACATTTCAGCAGGAAATTTCCATCTATTGACATACTTAATAACTGCATAACCAATCTACTTGGATAGTTGCCATTCCTTTTAATGATCATTATTTGTATTTGTTTATTTCCTCCAGTTTATATGCTGGAGACTCTGAGCAGATTACATAGAAATCAATGCCAAATAGGATTAAAAACAATAAAAAGCCAAACCAAGTCAATATATCTATATCTCAGAGGGGGTATGATCTTATAGTCTGTGCCTAAATGCCTCCAGAAGCGTCAGATTTATATGCTTCTATAAAAAAGAAATATATTGCAAGATTTTTGCTTTTAAGTATGAATACAGTTTTATCTTTGTGAGAATACTGACATCCAGAGGATGGTTTAAGTTAAAAGTATGCTTACAGTAAGAAAGGCATTGCATCTCACATTTTAGTCAGCCAGAACACTTTTTTTAAAAGGACAAAGTGTAATTTCTAATTAAATACATACATACATACATACATATATTATAACTAAAAGATTTTTAAAATTTCTGATTCTTTTTGTTATTATGGCAAATTCTTATCCTTATTTTCCTTCTTCCAATTATTCTTCTTATGGTTAATTTTTCTACCCAAAGATTCATGTCAAAAAGAACTACAACTGAAAAAAATAGTAAGATAAGATTTTCAAAATTAGATGCTAGAGGGAACTAGAAGGAACAGAAGATTTAAAGAAGAACAGATGTATTCAATTTACAATTTTTAAAATGTATTTATTCTTAATTGTTTCATCAAGAATAAAACAGATATGCTTTCATCTCTGGTAAGCCTTAATGTACTTTTGTTATAACCATGCTTTATGGATTTCTTTATAGATAACAGATGTGATATAGGAAGATGAGATCATTTATTTTATTTTAAGAGGTGATAAATTACTAAAAAAATTTATACTTGCTGTGATGAATGGGAAGTCACTTCTCTACTATTTCTTTTTTTTTCCTTTACTATATTCTTACTTCTCTTTTTTCCCTTTTCTTTTTCTGCATCTTATACACTTTATTTTTAATCCTATTTTTAGTTTTCATTTAGCAACTGTTCAGTTACAATGATGATGAAAAAGTAACTGCGACAAGTTCTTCCATTTATGACTTTTGCAGGTGTGTAAAGCAAAGGAAACCTGAAGCATAGTTGCAATTTTATTTAGTAAACACTATAGTTAACAATCAAGTTGCTGTTCCCAAGTCACTAAACAAGACTACTTGTTTAGGATAATATCTCAAATATGCTGAATTCTAATTTTAATGGACTGTTTGGGAGGAAGGGGTTTTCCATTATTTCCAAATCTACTAAACAGGAACTATTTATCACAACTATTTATATAATCTGCATAATTATTAATTATGCACATGAAATAAGAAATATTATTCATGTAATTAGATTATGCAAATGATATACATTACCATGGCTTGTAATAACATTGACAAAAAATTAATTTGCCTCATCTACACCACATCAATTACAATGCTTTGTTGGTTATTTTGAGGGTATGTCTGCATAGAATGTGGTCCATTGCATCTGAAATCTGCTAAACAGGAATTCATTATATAAAGGTTTCACTATATATCATTAGTTATGGACAAAGTTGAAGATGAGATTTTATTAAAAATGAAAAGAGACACACAACAGAGACTTAAGCATACAAGCTTACAGAATTGGTATATTCATTTTCCATATTTTCAAAAGTCTGTATGAGTCTGTATGAGTCTGTATGATGTGTGTTTATGTAGTAAGAACTAAAAATGTATGTACTGCTAATATATAGAACAATTATTCTCTTAAATTTTGTTAGCTTATTAGAAGTATATGAAGGTAAGAGCTGACATAAAAATGTTTTTTAGGATTAGAGATTACAACATGCAAAGAAATGTACATAGTTAATTAACCAACCTTCTATTAAACTAAATTAACTAACCTTCTAGGAAAATTAAAGTATCCTCTGGGTCTTGTAGTAGTTCTTTGTGTGTCACAAAATGAACAGCTACCTGCCGCTGTCCCTGATTTTCAACCTGCCACATTACAGAATTGAAGAACGAGGTGCTTTGCAGGTTTGAATCTGAAGTAGTTGAAGCTTCTTGTAAAATTGAATCAAGTTCAGTCCCATCTGGGATTTCTTGCCTGAAACAATTACAGCCTGAATTGAACACCAGAAAAGTGCTTAAAGTAACTTTTCAATAAATGCAATAGAAAAAAATGTAACATAGATAATTCAACATTTCCACCTGCATGTTAGATATTTTAAGGCCTTGATGTGTTAGTGTGTCATCTCGCAGCAAGATGGACGGCAGGCAAATTTTATAAATAATCTATCTATATTATATATAAATAAAAATGTAAATGTTAGTTTGTTCAAAATCTTAAAGCTCTGAAGGTTCTTCACCGATTGCTTTGAAATTTTGACACAACGTTGCATTTGAATACGTGTGTTTTTATATACCTATATTATATAGATGTCACATCTGTGACAGGTAAAAACATGCTTTTTGTGAAAAACAGCGCCATCTGTTGGACGTAGAAGCAAGACACACTACGATTTCAGACAATCTCGATATCTGCACAGACAATGGAACAACAAAAAATATTGTATACCCACAAGCATTGTGAAATTAAACATATTACAAATGTGCGCTTTCTCTTTTCTTTCTTTTCCATTTAACCAGACTGAGCCACAGCAACGCGTGGCCGGGAACAGCTAGTAATAAATACAGTATAAAAAAGACTAGGAGAACTAAATTTCCATAAAACATTCAAGCTTGATTGAAAGATTAAAGATTAAAAAGTTCAGAATCACATAACATTTAAGATAGGTTTATATTAATACATATAGATAACTTGGCACTGGACAAAACATAACTTTACACTATTTCTACCGCTAAGACACGCCCTAATATCTGATAGGACCATTGCACAGCTGGGTCCCTGTCTGGCAACTTTTCTGCCCTTATACAACTTCCCAAACAGTCCCTTCCCAAACAGTCCCTGGTGGATATTCTGAATAGGTAGCTGTGCAGCTGCTTCTATTCCAGGTATTGCCATTTTATATGGCCCCAAATGAAAATGAAAAAAATAAATTAAATATTTACAAACTTCACCTGTAAGATTGATGAATTTTTAAATACTACACCATGGCTCATAATAATTTTCACAAACGTATGTATATATACATTTTTAAACAAAAGAATTTTAAAGATATATTGGCACATATTTTAAGATATCATCTCCTTCAAGTGGAATTCAATTCTTCATGACTTCCATGATTACATTCATACAGTTTTCTTGGATAGAATTTTTTTTTTTTTAGTTTGGGTAGTATTTAGAGATTTTTTTTTGTTTGCAAAAAATTAAAAACCTGGATTATTTTTCTTATTTCCCAATCCAACATACTACCTTGGAATTCTTAGGTATTATCAAATTCAGGTATTAACTAGGCCCAATCTTCTCAGCTTTTGAGGCTAGGCTAGGTCAGCCAGATACAACTAGAAGTTGGCAATGCCCAGTTTATCTCAAAAAATGAAATGAAACTGGCCAAGTTATTGCCTGGAAGGGAAATCAGACATTTCAGGATTATAAGGTAGATCAGAAAGTGAAAAAGCATCTAGGGAAAAGGCAACGGCAAATATCTTTTTGAACACCACCAAGAAAACAGCATGTTGAGTTTGATTGAAGGGTACAGAATACTTACTTGCAAACATTCGTATAATAATCCCCTTGTTACTGCCTAGCTCGTTTGGGTTTTTTCATTTTGCACTTTATTTGACTTTACTGGATATGTAGCTTTTAGTGTGTGGTTTTTTTTATTATAATGCTTTGATTGTAGCAATTTAGAATTTTTAATAGATAAAATAACAATATTAATTAAATATAGACTATAAAAATAAATGATGAATTTATTGTACATTTTAAATTGCAGGGGATTAAATATATAATGCTATTCTATCCTGTAAGCCAGGGGTGTCAAACTCAATTTCATTGAGGGCCGCATCAGCACTGCGATTGCCCTCAGGGGGCTGGGTGGGTGTAGCCAGGCTGGGTGGGTGGCCAGCTCTATATCGTTTACGTCAAGGGTGCCTGTGGGGGCCTGGGCAGGAGTGGGACAGATCTGAGAGTCTCTAGCAGAAGGGGGTGGGACCAGGGCAAGTGCCAAGGCTGGTCCACTGGAGGAGCCTCAATGTTCCTCTCAAGCCCTGTGGGGGGGGGCTGGATGGTGGCAGCAGAGGTCAAATGCTCAGCCTGGCCCTCGAGCACCCACAGCACCAAGCCCAGCCCCACTTCCCCAAGAGGCGCCCAACTCCACTTACTTCCTCCTCAGGGCTGCTGTTGTTGTGCTTGCTCTCCTTAGCCAGGTTGCTCTTGATGGGTACAAGGGCAAAGTCAGAGTGAGGCCCATTCCCTCTCCATGGGAGGAGACCTGGCTTTGAATCCAAAGCTTCCTTAGCAATAGGATGGGAGACCCACAGGATAGGCCAGGAGGAGGGGGCAAGGGGATGGTGAAAGGGCAGCAGGGCAGGACTAAGGTAGAACTTCCCTCAGACCCTCCCTCTCCTTTTTTTCTTCCTTCTTTCCTAAGTACAGAGTGGTGGGAAAATATTTGAGATGAGGGAGGAAGAAAAACAGGCAAGAAACGCAGCTGGGGAGGTGTTACCCTTCGTGAAAAATGAAGAAATGCACCATTGCCTGGAAGTGGCCAGCGCGATGGTGCATTTCTTCATTCCTCACAAAGGTGACATCTCCCCAGCTTGCACCTAGGGGTGGGGCCGACGCGGCAGGGGCTGGTTCCTCGCTGTTTTCAGACAGCCTTGTGGAGCTAAGATTGAATGCGTTTCAGCATAGCTGGCCACCATAAAATTGTACATTGGCCCCTGGCCAGCCTGGGCCAGGGCCAAGGCAACGGGGGCTGTTCCCTCATTGTTTCTAAGATGGCTTCGCAGGCCACATGAAACCACTTCGCGGGCCGCATCCGGCCCCTGGGCCTTGTGTTTGACATGTCTGCTGTAAGCAATAACTGTAACTGCAAAGGTATTTGTATCACTTGGACACTTACAATGAATTGCACTGAGGGCAATGAAGTTTTACAGACTGGTGGAGTTTCTCAGGCTCAAATTTAAGCAGCCTAGCTCTGATGCGGTAGTTCTGAGGAATCTGGCTCATTCTGATGGTATTCAGTGTAGTTGCATCAAAATCCTGGTGATCTGTTAATACTATAAAACAATGAAAACATAAAAAGCATTTGGATAAACATGAACAAATATATGCATGAACACCATCAATTATCCATTAAGCTACTTTGCTGAATTTCTCATTTATTTATATTAATTGGCATTTCAAATGTTTAAGTTTAAACTATATAGACCACTTAAAAGCAGGTGCCCTCATCAACACTCATGTACAACAACAGCAACAACATCTTGGACTAAGGGTGGACAAACTTATTTTCAGTTGATTACACATTTGTATGCATTCATAAATTCTCCTATTTAATTTCTGCATTCTTCTTTTAATATATAGACATATCCTTCATATATAAAATGTATGTGTTTTGTTTTTTTATATTAGCAGAATGTCAGTGCACCCAAGAATTTTAAAAACTGGCATATAACTATGTTTTGTTCCACAATACGGTTGATGGATTAAATCAAGTTTATATTAAAATACATAACACATCAAATTCAAATATTATAGCCTGAGACAAAATGCCTTCCTAGCCATGCCAAAACAAAAACAAAACAAAAAAACTTCTGCTCCTCTAAGGTCCTCCCCACCATTTATGGCTCTGTTACAGTTGTTTGTTTATTAAATTAATTACTTTAATCAAATTATTTTAACTGATAAATTTATAATTATTTTATAATTTATAAAATAATAAAATAAATTTATTATTTATTAAACTCACCAACAGTGCTATTCTAAATTATCTCAGAGCCACAGGAAAGAATAGGTAGGAAGTCCTATTGTAAAAGAAGTTCTTTTCCCATTCCAAAATACACAGAATACCTAACGTGAAATTCTTACCTGTAACAGACAACTGCTGACATCTTTCTACCCAGGATCCTACTTTGAAAAAAAGGGGAAATTCATTTTCTTTGTCTCTAGCACTGGTTTACATAAGCAACAGAAAGGAAAAGAAGTATAGCACACAGAGATGGAAGTGTAAGATAACAAGAGTTCAATTCTAATTAATAACATGCATATAATTACAGATACAGTGGGTTTCTTTTCAGATTTGATTAGCAATATTGTATAAGCGGATTACCTATTTCAATTTTCAGAGAATGCAGCGAAATAAGCATTTTAAATTTAAAATTCCACCAATGTAGAATTTTGCATACATTGTTGGAATTTTATTTTATTTTCAAGACAGCAGTACTACATATAAATTCAGAATTTATTACTTCATACTAATGCACTTATTCATTAGAAAAAGAAATATTATTCTGCTGTGAATAAATTTACAGCACGGTTTTTACTAAAATGTTCTATCTTTTCTTAGTATCTTGTTTTGCATCAAGAAAAGAAACACCAGTGGACTTAACCACATTACAAAAATAGGAATCTGTGTTCTTCCAAATGTTGAATTGTATTTTTCAGAGTCTTCTACACCATTGTAGAAGACTGCTAGAGCCTGTTGCTCAGCAAAACTTTGAGACATAGAACAATCCTGTTCTATGAATATACAAAAAAGATATTTTTAAAAAACTTACATAAAGTATAAGAATTTTCAGGCTCCGGAGAAGCTCTTTCTGAACTCTCGCTTAATGCCAAGTCTACAGCGCCCAGAAATCTAATAATGAATATATATATATATATGTACTAAAAGTGAATAAAGTTTAGCAGACTATTAAAAACAGGAAATTAGATTTCAGTTAATTCCATTGCTTGATAAGTATAACAACAGTTTAATATTAGCAGATGTTGATTGCGCCATATTTTTCATATCTCTAAATTTCCATGCCATTATTTCAAGAATGTTATGCTCAGATCTAAAATGTTAAGTTACAAGGTCTTTTGGAGGTGTGATGGTGTTTGAAAACCAATATTGTCATAATGTGTTATTTGGCATCTGACAAATGACCCATTTGGGTGCATTCCCTACTAACTAAATGTTGATATATACTCTTTTGTACTACCATAAGAAGCAAGGTGCTTGTATATAACTGTGGATAAGATTTCCTTTTATTCTAGATCAAATTAAATTACACAAGTGTGTGTATATACTATGTATACTGTGTATATATTTTCTCTCTCTCTCTCTCTCTCTCTCTCTCTCTCTCTCTCTCTCTCTCTCTCTCTCACACACACACACACACACACACACACACGGGAAGGGAACTAGATAGGGAGAGATACTCACTTAAAAGTAATGCACACCAGAATTTATGAAAAGTATTTATGCCATAACTATATTCAACAATAGCAAAAGCAGAAAGCAGCTCTGAACTTACCTTTCTCTTTTGTCCTCTGCCACTACTGTGCTAATCAGAAGCCCAGAAAGCAGAGTGTGGTAACTAATCTTATCCTACTTGTCTGCCTCCCAAAGCTTATGTCCCAGAGTCCCACACTGTATCTATCACTGACAATTCTGGGACAAGAAATTCACTCAAGTGCATCCAGAGTGAAGAAGGCTACCGCAAGTTAGATCACAAGGAGCTGAATTAGGAGAGCAGAGCCCCATGCTGAACAGAAGCCATATGATAACTTGCATTCAGGCATGCTCATAGTTTACATTTTGTACAATCATACAAATCTGAAATAATAGCTTTATCCTCAAAGAGGTGCCTGAATAGCTTTGTTCTGCTCTATGGAAATTATCCTGAACAATTCATGACATAGAGATTTGCTTACAGCAGTGATTCTCAACCTTTCTAATGCCGTGACCCCATAATACAGTTCCCCATGTTGTGGTGACCCCCAAGTGGGTGTGGCCACCAATAAGAGGGAGTAGGACAGCTAGGGAAAAGGGAAAAAAATGGTGGACAGCATGGTTTGGTGACCCCCGTGAAATGGTCATTTGACCCCAAATGGGGTCCCGACCCACAGGTTGAGAACCACTGGCTTACAGTATGAAATGCTATTGTCAAGCTCCAAAAACCAAGAAAGACATACTGAGATTCTTCAAAGCAGATTTCTTTATTGTTCTTTACCTATAGACAGAAATCTTGCCAAACTAAAAGAAACTATTTGCACCATAAAATATATATTTTGGGAACTATTAGGGAGGAACCATCTTCACCTTCTTTCTCTCACACAATCTATCTAAACTATGTTGTCTCTTGTCCTTTGGAATGTGCTCCCTCCCTCCTGGGAATACAACATTCCATCACAGGCACAGAAGATTCACATCACAGTTCATAAATAGCGTAACACTTAAAATTCTAATCTCTTGTCAAAGAATTGTGGGATGTTAATTTGAGAATTTTAAGACTTTGGGGGTGGAATTAAAATGACAAAGTATGATTCATGAATTAATCAAGGCTGCTCCATTTATGGGAAATGCCGGGCTGAACAAATTAGCATGTTTTCTCTCCAAATCTTAAATGTTATTTACTCACGACTTTAGTTCGATGACATCTGGGTGGCTTTCAGGCAGGACAACAATCCCAGTACCATGCCTGGTGCCTCCATGAAGAAGAAACTGTGTAAAATCAGGCCCGTTTTCAGAACTTTGGCTTTTGACGTGCACGTTGTACATTGAAATGAACTGTCCAATCTTAAAATACACAGAAAAAAGAATTGGATTATTATTATCTACAAAACATATAATTATGACAATGTATACTTTCTTATAATTCAATAGTAAGTTTTAACTTAACCCTAGATGATAAAATAATAGTTACTGTTAAGGAAGATATAATCGATATAATGGTAAGCCTTTCTAGCTGCCTAAAATTACACTAGAAAATTAAAGACATAGTGAGATACTAGGCATGTGGAATAGTGGAGTCTGATGCAATTCTGAATATAAAGCAAATCATAGCTTCAGAATTCTTTAGTTCTAAGTGGATTTCTTTTTACATAAAATGGTGTAAATTGATGGATGGATATCAGGAATGTCTCTGTCAATGAAAAAACTGAAGGAGAAAGAAGGTTGGATATTTTAACAAGGTAGCAATCCAAAACATACTGTATCTTCAAATCAACCCTGAAAGAATTATAGGAAAGAAAGAAAATGGTTTTTGAATAGCTTTTGTGGTCCCCCAAGTTGAATAATATGGAAACTATATGGGAAGAACTCAGATGCATTGTGCATGTAAGGAAACCTAAGAATATTTCTGAGCTAAAAGAATTCTGTCATGAAAAGTTTTTAAAAAATTCAAAAAACAGACTGTTAACTGGCTATAAGGAATGGTTGCAAACTATTGTTTCTGCCCAAAATGTATTAAGGTATTGACTAAAAGGGTATCTAAACTTTTGCACAGGCCATATTCATGCTTTTTGTTACATTTATAAGCAAGTCAATATAAGCAGTAAATATGGATTGCAGTTTTCAGAAAAGTATTTAACTTTATATCATACAGAGATGTGTCAGGTGTTGTGTACTTATGGAGCATGAATTATAACTGAATTTTTGTACACAAGTGTTGTTTAGGAAATCAGCAATGCCTCTCAACAGTGAGATCATACAAAACTAATGCCCTATTCTTTAACCTCATTTACTGGAAAACAAAGTTCTAGTACACGACCAGTAATTTCCAGTGAGTGGCAGCATTGCATACTTTTACCTTTCCAGCTTGTGAACAGGAAATTCAATCTAGACAAAAGTCTGCACAAACTACTTATTGAAATACTTCCATGTTTAAAAATTCATAACTGCTTAACTGCAACCAAAAACCCATGAACAGAAAGAACTCCTGCATTGGAAATCCTTGTAGGAAGACGAATGCGCGCAGAATGTTCTTTGAACAAACATATAGGGCCCATGCATTTTTTTTAGCATCAATGCTCAGCTGCTCAGCTGCTTTTTCACTTATTTCCCCTCCATAGTCAGTATTTCTATTCAGTCCTCACCTGCTTGTTCCATTTGTTAGAGTCTCCTGTCTTTTCAGTAAAGCTGTCCTATTACAGGTAGTTCTTGACTTACAACCATTTGTTTAGTGATAGTTCAAAGTTACAACAGCACTGAAAATAGTGATCCTCCAACTTATATCTGTTGCAGGACAGTCATGATCAGAATTGGGGCAAATGGCAACTAGCATTTAGTAATTATGGCAGTTGCAGAGTCCTGATATCATGGGATCACCCATTCACAAACTTTCCGGCCAGCTTCCAATAAGGAAAGTCAATGAAGGAAGCCAGATTTGCTTAACCATGACATGATTCACTTAACAATCATGACAAAAAAGATTGTGTAAAACTGTGTGTGATTCACTTAATAATCAACCTGGTTAGCAGTGGTAATGCTGGCCCCAACTGTGGTCATAAGGCAGGAGCCACCTGCACCTATCTCTGCTTGGCATGGATTTCACAATGCTCACTCCTGAACAGCAGAATTTGACACAGCGAACACACAATCAGTTTCAATGTATTGGGGTTAAGTTTTTATTTTGTCATAAAATGTACCAGCAAAAAGATGAACTCTACCTCCCATAGGTAATCGAAGCTGGTTTTGCTACATTTTAATTAGCAAAAATCCAAAGCAAACTGAGGCAGAATGGAAAATAAGGAACCCTAACTTTGATTTATCTCCAGTGAACAAGGGCTAGACAATTATCTCTTTCCCTTAAAAAGTGGCACTGAAGAAAACAAATCCCAATTTAACTTAAGGGTTATTTAGTGAAAATGGCTTAAAAGAAAGCAGCAAATCTACAAATGTAAATTCCCAAACAACTGGAGCTCATTTTCCATATGGCAGTTTGGAATTGGAGACATGGTTGGCATTAATTGGTACATGACTGCATTGCAGTGCGATTCTTGTTCAACAATGCAAATGAGAATGCAAATGGCTAAGATGAAAATGCAACTTTCTCCAGCTACATTAGAGACATAGCAACAATGGTAAGTTGGAAAAGCTTTTTAACTATGTGGGTTAAGTATTGTGCTTTGGCAAAACCGTTGTAAAACAGAGTCACATGACCCTGGGGTGCTGCAAATGTCTGTAAATGCAGCTGTGCTGCTAAGTGTTTAAAGTTTGGTCATGTGACTGTAAGGAGATGGACACCGTTGCAAGTCTGAATCCGAATTGCAAGTAGCCTCAAGATAGGTTCATCGTAACTTTGATTGGTTGCTAAACAATAGGTAGTAAGTGGATGATTACCTGTACCACTCTCAGCCTTAGCAGTAGAATGGAATTATATTGCAATCTTGAAAATGTAATATCACTAGAAATATAATTATTTAAGACTTGCAGTAATAATTCCTATGTTAAAAATAACCCTCTTAGCAAAATGGCACTTTTCAATAAGGAATAAAAATTAAAACATTTTCTTTTTACATTGCAGAGCTCCCAAAATAGTGTATGGATCACAAAATGAAACATTTAGAAAATATTTATGAACAAATCACAAATTCATACAAGACTATGTTCATTTTTTTAAAAAAATATTATTTTTAAAAGCAAAAAATAAATAATAAAACAGTATAATTTACAAGAAAGGCTACGTTTAAAAAAAATAGTTTATCTGAGTAGTAGGAAAGAAACTGAAGGCTTCATCTTTTTTCCAAATGTTCATAGTTGTATTCAAAAAGATGTTATATAGCTTTAAATATGCTTTTTCATAATAAGTTAATTGAATTTTCTTTACTTGTCCCCCCCCCCCCCGAGATTTGGTTTGTTGGGACTAATCATGGCAATTACACAATTTATATAAATTCAATTAATTTAATTTAAATAAATGTACACGTAGAATCACTTTTAGTAAAAAATGGAGAGTTAAAACAGAACTAGCAAAAAAATAAAGCTGTAATTGCCAAGAAGTTCCTTTACCTTTAATAGTTTTGCCAGATGCACATGATTATCATAAGCTACAATATCCACTGTTAGATATTTTAATCGACGTAGAAAATATTCATCTCCCTCTAGGTCTTCTTCTTTAACAAGCACATTCCAAGATGGGAAAGGGAATTTTGTGCCATCCCATACCTGCAATGAAATAAAAAACACTCTTTTTGGAACCAGATAAAATTGCACAAATAATATTCCAGAGTAAGGCTTAAAAACTACAATAAAGGATAGACAACTTGAACCTTAAAAGTGTTGTTAAGACTATAATTCCCCAAAGCTTCTTCTTCAAATACATTTTGTTAATGTATTTGTTTGTGCCCTAAACTCCATTGAAGATGTTATCAAGCCTGGTAACAAAGCATCTGGAAACCAACCCATACACTCGGAGAACGAACATTCACCCACATTTTGTTAAATTTCTTTGAGACAGTATTTATGTATAAAGAACATTATTTTGCAATCTTCCAGGGAATAATTTAAAAGAAAAAGGCAGAGTGCTCCTAAAAATGCTAGTGGCAACGTTTTGGATAAATGTGTTTTATTCATTCTCCTAAACTTGTAAGTAGGCCATGCAAAATGTTCCAACCATCTATCTATATTGAGTGCTTGGAACTTGAAACAAGTTAGGAATAAAATATGCCATTTTAATGGCTACAAATGCCCTTTCCCCCCCTTTTAACCAGTGGAAGACAGAAATTCACAATGAATCAGTGCCGTTGTCAGAATCCAATTATATTTCATCTTTAAATTATCAAATATAGAAACTCCCAATTCTGCCTTCTCTGGATTCTGCCATAAGAGGGAGAGAAGGGGGAGAGCAAAGGGGCTTTATGGCCCTCACTTCCTTCTTTACACTTCAAAGAGCTGAATGTGTGTTTATTGTAACCTCTAAGCGTTAACATATCAAAGAAGGGTAATTGCCTTTCATGTAGTATCTGAAGTCTCCATCCAGACGGAAGAAAGAAGAAAGGAGGTGGAATTGTGATACTTGAAACTATCACTGGAAGGGGGGTTGATTGGGTGGGACTACTGGGGAACCCCTTAAAACCTTGAATGGGAGAGCTTGGACCCCAAGTCCTGTCTAGCATGCCTGCAACCATTTTCTCTTAATAAAGGATTCCTGTTGGAAGAATTATTCCAAGAGTTCTGTCTTCTTAAGATGCAAAGTGGGGTGGGTCCTTACATTAGACAGGACTTGCAAAATTAATCCACCTGGAAGGAAGACCCTTGCCGGGGGATTTTGCAAAAATTTACCATGTCAGACAATGGAGCAAGAGAGGGGGAAAACTCCCTGGAAAGAGAGCCGCTGACCCAGTTGGAACCTTGCCAGATGTTGGGATCCGAGAGGCCAGATTCCTCAGGAGAAGAAGTGGTGGAGACACAGGACCACAAGCCTCGCTGGTCGATGGGCGTTGGAAAGAAAAGTGAGTGGGGAAAGGAATCAAGAAAGGTGACCCTGAGAAGGGGGACCAAGCAACCAGAATGGAAGCAGGAGATGGAGAAATCCCTGCACGCAAGTGAAAAGGGAGGAAGCTGGGCACCGTACTCAGACTGGATCCTAGAGAAAGCTATTGACCTGATGAAGAGAACTCTCAGCTCCCTAAGAGAGGAGAATACTGAACCCTACGGCCGCCCCAGTTCCTGGAGCCGCAAAGGGAGAGACACCGAGGGGGACATGGAACCTGCAACCCCAGGGACATCTACTGATCCAGGAGCTCCCACCCCCTACCGGACCACAGATGGCAATCTGGACGGAAGGCACTACCACCCACAACAGAGGCACCGATCCATTCCAAGACGTCCACCGTTGGAAGTGAAATTCAAAGGGGAGCCAACACGCTTGGGGTTTTTCCTAACCCAAGTCCTCAGCTACATGGAGGAATATGGGCAGGATATTCCCAGCGACAAAGCCCGCATCCGGATCGTGCAATCTGCCCTGGATGGACCAGCTGCGGATTGGGTAGTGAACTTGCATGACTCCAATGCCCCAGAACTCAGTAACTTCAACCGTTTCATGTCCTCTTTGAGAAGACGATTTGAAGACCCCCTGGCTGATCGCAAAGCCCGTGAAAGAATAACAACGATGAGGCAGGGCAAACGCCCAGTGGCTGAGTATACACAAGAATTCCGGGCCATTGCCAGCAAACTGAATTGGCCAGAAGACATCCTCCTTGGCCATTTCAAAGACGGACTAAACTATGATCTATATGATGCTTGCCTGCCCCGAGGGGACCCACATCGACTTGAGGAATGGTACGTCTTGGCAGAGGAAGCAGAGATCGACATATTGAAGAGGCACCGCCGAGGAAAACAATGGAGCCGCCCCCCGCCTGAGCTGACACACCAACCGGTGAAATCATTGGATACAGCCAAGAAGCAAATGGGATGTTTCAAGTGCGGAAGAGAAGGGCATCGAGCTGTAGAATGCCGCTCAAAGGCCCCCCAGCACAACCCAGACAGATCCCCAATCAACAAACCCGGAAAGTATTCAGCTAAGCCAAAAGAAACGGCCATGAGAATGATGGAAATTGCAGAAACCCCCACCTCTGCTCACCAAGGGGAAAGGACTCCAGCCTACACCACAGGGCCGGTGGATGCCTCAGATGACAGCTCGGAGGGCGAACCCCTGGTAAGTGGATGCATCACACCCATCTTCAAAACAGTGACTATATTAATCCCCCCCATGCCCGAAGCTGTGAAGGTGAAAGCCTTAATAGACTCTGGCTGTACCCGCTGCCTCATTAGCCCAACACTAGTGGGGAATCTGGGCATCCCATCCAGGAGACTGGAACAACCAATCTCATTTGGCCAGCTAGATGGATCCATAGCAGGGGGGGTGCCAGCTACCCTAGCCACTTTGCCAATACATCTCTCCCTGGGCAACCATGAAGAGGACTTAACGTTTGTGGTGACCCCAGGTATGGAATGCCCAATGATTCTAGGGATGGAATGGTTGAAAAAATGGAACCCCTGGGTAAATTGGAGGACGACAGAAATCAAATTCCCGAAGGGGGACCCTATGGACTTAAAACCCCAAGGGAGGCTACCAGAATCAAGAATAGAAAAAGCATCCATAGGAGAGGAAAAAAGATTAACAGAAATACCAGAGGAATATAGGGACCTTGCTGAAGTCTTCAGTGAGGAGAGGGCGAATGAGCTTCCCCCCCACCGACCCACAGACTGTACCATTGAATTCAAGCCTGGGGCAAAACTCCCGAAGCCCAGATTATACTCCATGAGCCCAAAGGAGAAGGAGGAAATGGAAAGATTTATAAAAAAAAACCTGGAGAGAGGTTTCATTGAGCCAGCCAAGCCTAAAGTGGCTGCCCCGGTCCTTTTTAGAGAGAAGAAGGATGGCTCTTTACGTTTATGCGTGGATTATAGGGCCCTGAATACAATCAGTGAAAGCAACCTATACCCGCTGCCCCTCATGAAAGACATGCTGTCACACCTATCGAAAGGGAAAATTTTTTCTAAACTAGACTTAAGGGAAGCTTACTATCGAGTGAGAATCAAGGAAGGGGACGAATGGAAGACTGCATTTAACTGCCCCATGGGGTGCTATCAATTCAAAGTCTTGCCATTTGGATTACAAGGGGGCCCTGCAGTCTTTATGCAACTAATCAATGACGTTCTAAGGGACACCTGTTTAAGGGGGTCCTTGTTTACTTGGACGACATTCTTATCTTTACCGAAACAAAAGAAGAACACGTCAAACTTGTCAGAGCGGTTTTAAAGAAGCTGCGAGCCGCTCACCTATATGCCAAACTCTCAAAATGCGAATTCCACCAGGAAAGGATAGACTACCTAGGCTATCGCATATCCCCACAGGGCATTGAAATGGACCCAGAGAAGGTCAGAGCAGTATTAGAATGGGCACCACCCCGCACAAGAAAGCAACTACAAAGTTTCCTGGGCTTTGCAAATTTTTACCGCCAATTCATCCCCTCATTTGCACAGATAGCCTTGCCCCTCACTAACTTACTAAAAACGAAGGGAACACCCTCAGTAAAACCTAGCCAGCCACTAACATGGACAATGGAGTGCCAAGCAGCGTTTGAGAGACTAAAGAGACTTTTTTCTGCCGAACCAGTACTAAGGCACCCAGACATGGACAAGCCCTTCATAATACAGGCAGATGCAAGTGATGTGGCAGTGGGGGCTGTGCTATTACAAGAAAATGATGATGCAGTATTGCAACCCTGTGCATATACATCCAAGAAACTCACGGAAACAGAACAGCGCTGGCCTGTATGGGAGAAGGAGGCTTATGGGATACGTTGGGCATTACTCACATGGCGACAGTTCCTGGAAGGCAACAAAATCCCCTTCCAGGTGTGGACTGATCACAAAAATTTGGAAGCCCTGAAAACTTCCAGGAAACTCAATCCCAAACAAGCCCGCTGGTCCCAGCATTTTCACCAATTCCAATTTAAGCTCAAACATTTACCAGGAAGAAAGAACTTCCTGGCAGATGCACTATCTCGCATGCCCCAATATAACAGCGCACGAACCACAGACTCTAGACCAATAATGGCAGAGTCACAACTGGCAGCACCAGTAACCACAAGAACCCAAGCCAAATTAAAACCACAACTGGACAGCCAAACTGGAATTGAATTCAGAAAAAGTTTGGAAACAGATGATTGGTTCCAGAAAAACAAAAATGTGTGCACAATGAAAGACGGGTTGCCTTGGATAGGGGAAAAGTTATATATACCAACAACTCAAAGAGTAACTTTCATGCACCTTTGCCATGACACAAAATCAGCAGGGCATTTTGGATTTGTAAAAACTTTACATTTAATTAAACGGCAATTTTGGTGGCCATCCATGAAAAAGGACATTGAAAGTTATATAGCCAGTTGTCCAAAATGTGCCACGGCAAAGAGGTTGCAAGGGAAAGTGCCAGGACTATTGCAAACAGTGGCAAGTCCCTCAGCCCCCTGGAGAGAAATAGCCATGGATTTTATAGTGGAATTGCCAGAAAGCAATGGGAATACTGTGGTCTGGACGGTCACGGACTTGTTTTCCAAACAGGTGCACTTTATCCCTTGCCAAAAGATTCCCACTGCAAAAGCCTTAGCAAAACTTTTCATCCAGCACATTTACAGATTGCATGGGGCACCCCAACGCATCATCTCTGACAGGGGGGTGCAATTTACGTCTGCATTTTGGAAGGAATTTTTATCCCTCTTAGGAACCACTCAGGGACTGACATCTAGCCACCACCCTCAAGGAAATGGGGGGGCTGAAAAAATGAACTCAGTACTTAAGCAATATTTAAGATGTTTTCTTAGTTTCCAGCAGACCGAGTGGGCGGACTTACTCCCCTTTGCAGAAGTTGCCTACAATAATGCAGTCCACTCCAGCACAGGTTACACTCCTTTTCAAATAGCCACCGGTCAAAGTTTCAACCCCATGCCAGAATTAACCCCAAACGAACCAACGATCCCCTTGCTGAAAGAATGGATGGAAAAATTACAAAACACCTGGCCAATAGTCAGAAAAGCACTAGATGAAGCTAGGCAGGCTTACAAAACACAAGCCGATAAAAAAAGGGTTGAGCCTACACCATTCATTATAGGAGAGATGGTGTACTTATCTACAAAATACCTAAAGTCCCTACAGCCCTGTAAAAAACTTGGACCAAAATATATAGGACCTTTTCCAATTAAAAGAATCATAAATCCAGTAACAGTAGAATTAGAATTACCCAAAAATCTCAGGCAAATACACCCAATTTTTCATTGCAGCTTGCTGAAAAGAGAGCATCAGTCACCTCTACGGCCAAAAATCCCCCCCCCACCACCTCCAATCATGGTGGAGGGTGAACAACACTTCGAAATAAAGGAAGTCCTTGACTCTAGGAGATATCATGGAGCAACTCAGTACCTAGTTGCCTGGAAACACCTCCCTCCCTCACAAAATGAGTGGGTCCATAAACGTCATGTCAGAGCCCCGAAGCTATTGAAGAAGTTTCACACAGAGTATCCTAACAAGCCTAACTAAAATTTTTACTTGCGTTTTCTTTCAGGTGGATCTCTCTTATTGTTAAGAGGGGCCGGATGTCAGAATCCAATTATATTTCATCTTTAAATTATCAAATATAGAAACTCCCAATTCTGCCTTCTCTGGATTCTGCCATAAGAGGGAGAGAAGGGGGAGAGCAAAGGGGCTTTATGGCCCTCACTTCCTTCTTTACACTTCAAAGAGCTGAATGTGTGTTTATTGTAACCTCTAAGCGTTAACATATCAAAGAAGGGTAATTGCCTTTCATGTAGTATCTGAAGTCTCCATCCAGACGAAAGAAGAAAGGAGGTGGAATTGTGATACTTGAAACTATCACTGGAAGGGGGGTTGATTGGGTGGGACTACTGGGGAACCCCTTAAAACCTTGAATGGGAGAGCTTGGACCCCAAGTCCTGTCTAGCATGCCTGCAACCATTTTCTCTTAATAAAGGATTCCTGTTGGAAGAATTATTCCAAGAGTTCTGTCTTCTTAAGATGCAAAGTGGGGTGGGTCCTTACAGCCGTATTCTAATTAGAAACATGTTTCTTTTAGGCAAACTCCATTACTCATTAAACATATCTGCTTGAAAGTTTAGTAAACATTCTCCATGCCTTTCTTCAATTTTCTCCTACTTTTATTGATCAACAAAACAGCCTCATAAGCAATGTTTCAGAAAGCCTGTGGATCCAGATAATCAAATGTAGAAATCTGACAGATATTGGCATGTATCTGACATAGAAAACTCTCAGGTCATCCAGAAGCAAACATGACTTCCCGAAAATGAAACCAAAAAACAAAATATGGAGAATATTTTTAAGAAGTTAAAACTTCTTATAAACCAATTTTCTCATAATTTTCTAGTGACAAGAGTAGTTATAATGGGCTGCACTTTGAAGGAAAATAAAAGTAAATTTTGTAAAGCAGTGTAGTTATTCAATTTATTAATGGAAAGTATGATAAAGCTAATGCTTACTGAGGTGAAGAAAGCAAAATGCATCTAAACATGGCAAATTTTAAGTCTCTCTCTTACGCAGAATTATCACAATTTGTATACCTATTTTGACATATTTTACATTTTTAAACTTTCAGAATTCCAAATACAGCTTACATTATTTCAATCATATTTTCTTAGTATATTTCCTAGGAAATATATTTTTGTTTGAATATATTGATGTTTAATAAGCAATCCTAATTGCCCTGGTTCATAGGAAAAAAATTCAAAATCCATAATTGGGTAATACTAAAAGATTCAAAAAAGATTTACCGTATATGCCGGCGCATTAGGCGACCCGGCGTATAAGATGACCCCCGTCTTTATCGCCAAGCCGCATTCCTAGAACGTCGTCTTATACGCCGGAAACTACCAGTATTTCCGGCGTATAAGACGACTCGGCATACAAGACGACCCGTCTTTGGCGCCCAGTTTAGCGCTTCCGGAAGTCGTCTTATATGCCGGCATATACGGTAACAGGATGGGAAAAAAATATGGCTTCAAGCAAAGATGTTTACAAGTAAATAGATTTATTTCCTTCCCAAAGTACTATTAATTATTTGAATGATAATCAGGGCCATCAAATGATGAAGTCAGTTTGGAAAGATGCCACCATAAATTGAACCAAAACATGGTCAGTGAAAACCAGAAGTTATTAACTTGCTTGAATGAAAACTTGGATATCGAAAAGTTTCAGGAATCATAAAATGCACCATTATTAGCAGAAGATTTAAAAATGATTTTGATAGCAGAAAAAAAACCATAGATTCAGTTATAGCCTACCTACAGCTAGTATGAAATTACTATTGAATTAAAATGTAATGAGTGCAGGGATGGGAATAATCATAAAAACAGACCTTGAGAAGATAAGAAGATCCATCCACTTTAGCTTTTCCTATTAGTTGGCCAGTGAATTCAAAAAACATTGATGGCTGGATGTCACATAATTTTTTCATGGGAGGCAGACTGAAAAGATTACTTGCTATCCAAACACGCAAGTCTTCCACGGTTTTTCTGTCTTCATCCGTAAATGAAAATGTTTTACTAGATGTTCGGGGTATTGTTGGAGCTCCAATGTTACCATCAAATGTAAGTGAAGCCAATCCAGAACGTGAAATCGCTTGGAGCTGGTCATTGAATTTTCTGATCTACAAGAATAAAAATGATGTATCATATAGAATAGAGTTTCTCCTAAAATGTTAAGGCTTCATACAGGCTTGCAATACTAAAAATTATGAAATAAAAAAACCAAGATGTTTAGAAAGTATCAAATTATAGTTAATAATCGGTTTACCTTATGGTTTCAGAACATTTCTTTATTTGATATTTTTTTAACTATCAACTGGTGAAATGGAGAATGTCCTCCATTCTTTTATATGCTCTAGGGTCATTATCTGAAATCCAGCAGATATAAATTGAGTACATATGGCCATTTTATTTACAGAAAACACAGTGTAATGCCTTCTAGAATTAAACACACAAAGTGACTAATAATGTGGTGGTAAAAACATTAACACAGTACCACAGATTGCCTCCCTGTTTCTGAAAGAAGACATTAGTTTGCAAAAATATTGAATTTTAATGTATTTGAACTAGAAACAATGTAAGCCAGCACTGTTGATGCTTCATGTAAACAGCTGTTCTGCTATAATAAACATTTGATTATAGCATTTTTATTTGCAGTTGGTTGCTAAAAGGATAATCAACATCTGAGAGGCATAACAGTTTCAAAATTAGGTACTTTCCAGGTAATAAATCTTCCTAGATAAAAATACTAGTCTCTGGTGCAATAAATCAGCTTCTATAATCAGTACAATGATACTTGAAATGGGTATTTTCTTTACTTAGTTGGTCACCAATATATGCTATAAGGAGAATGCGTTGTCAAACATAATGCAATCACTGTCTTGCTCAAATAGCTCATTTTTTCAAATGTTATTTCCTTCCAGTGGGAGAATGCATTAGTCTCATCTTTCCTTCCTCTGGCTCTTTATTTTCCTAATCTCTTTATTGAGTTTACTGCAATTTTATTCGGTTTATTGGTCAGCAAATGCAATAGGCTATGAGTCCTTAGTATAGTCAACTGGGTCAGAAGGATGGATCTGGTTCGGAGAAGATAAGTTAAGATCAGTCTAGGAATGGATTCTTTTAATAACTGATTGGGGAATTTTAAAAAGGACTGTATCAGCTTTAATGTATTTATATAATTAAATGTATAAATGGTTATATATTTCATAGAGCCTAGGTACATCTACAGGGATTTATGGCACGATTTATCTTGTTTTCATCATCACTACCATCAGTAGCTGCATGGGATTCAGTGAATTCTTGCAGAACTTCAACTTGCTGAAGCAATTATATGATTATTCTCGAATGGGCTTTAATGACAGCCTACTGAGTTATATTTTGGAATATATGAGCAGTGAGACCTGATCCATTCGAATAAAACTGGATATCTAAAGTAGTTCTGATTTTAATATTTGAGAAAAATGGCATCTTGGGTTAGGTGTTAAATTAAATGTTAAAAGTTAAATTTTTACATATAATATTTGTTTAGGTTTCAAACAACCATGGTGTTCTTAAATTGAAATTATATTTATATATTCTCATTAGAAACACCTAATTTATTTTATTTTACTGATGCAGATTGTTAATAATACTTTATTATGCCCTACTCTTTAAAATCTTACCAATACATATACCTATATATCTCTATCTATATGGACAGAAATATGGCAAAGAATAAAATGAACACCAGGGTAATAAAAACTATAAAAGTTTAATTAAAAAGCACCAAGCTTTCGCCATCACCTGCCGGCATCCTCAGGGCTAATGCGCCAGAGAGTGAGAAAATCTTTTATAGGCATGTCAGAGTCTGCGCCCGGCTCCTCGATCTCGTCATCGGGCCCAATTGATTCAACTGGACATGATTGGTTTGTTCCTTCCTATTCCTTTTAGTTACGTGTCCATCCTCATCCATCCTCCTTTCCCTTAATCTTGGGATGGGTGGGGTGAAACCCCTGTTATTCTGGTTATCCCTATGCTTTAACTCATCCCCCCCATCGGGTTCGAGTGGGAATGTGCGTTTCACCTTCCCTTCCCAATCATCCTCTGCTCGGTTGTTCTCTTTGCGGTAGCTTTCTCTTCCAATTTTAATGCTTTCACCTCTTATGTAACTGTCACCCGAGTAGTCCTGTAAGCTGTTCTGAGTTAAATGCGATGTACTGACGATCTGGGGTGGGTTGGTAAGTTGTTTGCCTATGTCTATATCAGATTGACTACCCAGAAACCTCCCAACAACATCAAGGGGAAACCACACCCCCTTTAATTGGAGAAAACAACAATAATGACATTGGAGCGCTTAAGAAATTTGAGGATAGAACCACTAAATTTAGCACTACCCATAATAATAAAAGTGAATATCCCATACAGAGAGGGGAGAAAAAACATGTGATGACGACCCGTTCGCTTGATAAAAGGGAAAATAACATGAGCAGGGAATCTTCCCAAATACCAACAGACTTTTGCTCACAGAAATGGGGGGGATTTAACTTGAATATTGACCTACGAGGGAAGATGAGCATGGAGGACACCATGATGGAGGAGGATGATTCAAACGGAGATGTGAACACAAGTGCTCGAGAGAACGACGGAAGAAATCTTTACTCCGATTCCCCCTCCCATCTATCAGCTGTTCAGCGGGGAATGCTGGCACGGTCTAGGAACCAAGCGCAGACGTCTATGGAACCCGTTTAAACCACCTTGTTAGAAACGGTCTCTCAGCCCTGAAGTTGTTAGGGAGTTTTCCCAACGAAAGCTTGGCAACCTTTTAATATAGTAAAATACTTTAATTAAAGTATTTTAACTTTAAACTCTCCTGGTGAACGCGCTTTATTCATTCCATATATATATTCATATATATATGTAGGTCTTTGGTTATTCAGGTTTTCTCCCGCGTAAAATTGGAAGTGTCTTGGCCATGTTTCGACGAAGTCCCATTCGTCATCTTCAGGCTGGTGTTTTCGGCTTTGTGCTTCTAGAAGCACAAAGCCGAAAACACCATTATATGCGGAGTTGAAACCAGCCTGACCAAAATCAACCGCAACAACGCGAACAGAATCAGACTCAAAATCACCAACATCCTCTGCACCAGCAAGCCACCCAAAAGCAACTTACCCAAAGAGGAACAGACAGCACTACTTAACCTGAAAGAAGACACCAGCATAATAATCTTACCAGCAGACAAGAGCAATGCCACTGTGGTTATGAACACATCTGACTACCAAACCAAATTAACCAACCTACTCCAAGACTCTATATACAAACCCCTAAATATAGATCCCACCACCTACCTGGAAAAAACCACCAGATCCAAAATAAAAGCCTCCCCCATTAGCGAAGAGATCCAGCAAAGAATCATTCCCAGAGAGAAATCATCCAGATGCCCTGAGCTCTATGGTCTCCCCAAGATACATAAAGAAGGAACCCCACTTAGACCCATAGTCAGCTCCATAGGCTCACCTCTACAAAACTTATCCAAATTTCTCGCCAAACAACTACAGCCCTATGCGGAATCCATCACCTCACACGTAAAAAACTCATTCCATTTCTTAGAGATCATAAAGAAACAAAACTTACAGCCCAGCGACCTACTCGTGAGCTTCGATGTCATATCCCTCTTCACCCAAGTGCCAATCAAAGAAGCTTTGACAGCTATCCAAAACAAATATAACCCCCCAAACACATCTTAGATCTGACCAACCACTGCCTATCCAACACATACTTCATCTATAATGGACAAAAATACAAACAAACAGAAGGAACACCCATGGGATCACCCCTCTCACCTGTCATTGCAAACCTCTACATGGAACACTTTGAAACCCAAGCTCTAGAAAAATTGGATCACAAACCCAAACTCTGGCTCAGATACATAGACGACACCTTCATAATCTGGCCACATGGGAAAGAAAAACTGGACAACTTCCTCACACACCTCAACAGCCTACACCCCAAACTACAGTTCACCATGGAAACAGAAACTAACAACCAACTTCCCTTCCTGGATGTCTTAGTCTACAAGAAATCCAATGGCTCCCTAGGACAAACCATCTACCAGAAGAAAACACACACAAACCGCTATCTGCACGCTCTCTCACACCACCACCCAGCACAGATCAACTCTGTAGCCAAGACACTCATCCCCAGAACAAAACGCTTAGCTGACGAACAACACCTAAAACCCGAACTACACACTCTCACCAATGTACTAACATCCAATGGATTCCATAGAAATAAGATTACAAACCTAATCCAAAAAGAAACCCCTACTAAAATCCAAGACAAAGAACAAGAAAACGGCAAAGCCATCCTCCCATACATAAAAGGCATCACAGACAGAATCAGTAAGATCCTCCATAAACACAACATCAAAACCGCATTCTGCACAAACAGAAAAATATCCACCATCCTTAGAAACCCCAAAGATAAAATTGAATTAGAAAATCAAGGAGTATACGAAATCCCATGCACCACTTGTCCCACCATATACATCGGACAAACCAACAGAAGAATAAGGGCACGCATTGAAGAACATAAGAACTCAGTCAAAAAAGAGGAACCAACATCTTCCCTGGTCCAACACCTTAAAGCCACAGGACATGAAATTGACTTTAAAAATACCAGAACCATTGCCAAAGTGAACATTTTAATAACAGAATAATCAGAGAAGCCATCGAGATAGAAAAACGCCCACACAGCATGAACAAGCGAGATGATACCTCCCGCCTACCAGCCATTTGGAAACCCGCCCTTATTGACAAACGACTCCCTAACACAAAAAATGATACCAGACCCACACTCACAAAAACCACATAGGAGGTCACCACCAAACATCCACGCAAAAAACAAACCCAAAGCCACACTGACTATGAGGCACGACCACAAACCAGAAGCCAGACCACAGCTGCATCATTAGCCACTTTAAACCCCCCCAATCCATACATGAAGCAAACTGACACCATCCATGAAGAGGAAGCACGACCACGAACGCGAAGCCAAGGAATGGCAGGGCAGCCCAAAATCTTGAATCCCTCTGCAACTCAGACTAACCTGAGCACAACCAAACAGAACACTCCCCCAGCCAATCAGAGCACAGCCAACCCCCCAGCCAATCAGAGCACAGCCAACCCCCCCAGCCAATCAGAGCACAGCCAAGCCCCTAACCAATCAGAACACACCTCCACCCAATCAGAACACAGCCAAGCTCCCACCCAATCAGTTCATACCCCCACTGGCAGTTAAAAGGAAGAAACAGCTAAGACCACACACTGCTGCTCGAAGCACGAAGCTGAAAACACCAGCCTGAAGATGACGAATGGGACTTCGTCGAAACGTCGCCAAGACACTTCCAATTTTACGCGGGAGAAAACCCGAACAACCAAAGACCTATATATATATATGTATGTATGTATGTATGTATGTATGTATGTATGTATATATATGATCACCAAGAGAAATTTAAGAAATAAAAGTTTAATCAACCAAGCTTTCGTCAAGTACACTTGACATCATCAGGGTTAAAAGGCAGATGCTGAAAGAAATCTTACATATAGTTGTTAAATGCCTATCTCTGGTTTACAGAGTGCTTCGTTGGATCCAGTTGGTCAGGCTGAGTTTTAAGTGCACTTCTTAAGTTGCTGTATATTCCTTTCTTTTGTTTGAGTCCCTTATACGTTGTTTTATCTGCTGGTTCGGCAATAGGTGGGTTTAGGCTGGAGGTACTCTCACCTCTCCTGTATCCAGTCCCTCTATCGTTCTGCGTATGGCTTTCTCTGATGGGTGGGGGGGTGTTTGATTTACTTTTCGTGCTCCTGTGGGTTTTGGGTCTGTTTTGCTTTTGTTTATTTATCTCTTTGAGCCACGGTGTAGATTCCTCCTCCCATTTCGTGTTATTCTTCCTCTTATCTTCTCTCTTAAGTGTCGTCCTTAACGGTCTGTTGTTCATTCCAGCATCGCTTCTCTCGCACATGCCCAGAGTGTCATCTGTTACGATCTCATTGACAGCACCCAGCTGCTCAGTCTGCTGCCAGTGAGTGTTGTTTTTGTTTGTTCCAGATTTTTCACCTTTGTCTCTTATGGGGTTCTCCTGTCTTGGTTGCAATTGCTGTTCAACTGATTGTCCTTCTCCCCCCATGCATTCAACATAACAGATGACACTCTGGGCATGTGCGAGAGAAGCGACGCCGGAACGAACAACAGACCATTAAGGACGACACTTAACTGCAATTGAACCCCAAACACACTTGAATTGAATTTTCAGAGAAACGGTTACAAAACTGCACTTGCCCAGCAGCACCCAGCACTTGAAATATGGTTGATGGAATGTGGCAAATAGCAAATCCTTTCATTCAGTGATGATGAGGATATTCATTTAGTTGTGTTCAACTCTTGGTGATTTTTTGTTCTTTGGTGGCTTGGTTTCCTTTAACCTAGGGGTCCCCAACCCCCAGGCCACTGCCCACTATTGGGCCTTGAGCCATTTGGAATTGGGCTGTGAAAGTGGCGGGCAAGCGCACACATGTTCCATTTGCGCGAGCAGTGTGCGTGTGTGCCCACCACGCACATGGTTTCCCATCACTCATGCGGAGCCCGGCCAGTCTGCAAAGCCAGAAAGATTGGGGAATTCTCTTTTAACCACTAACTCTTCCAAACATAATTACTTTCTACAGTGAATTCCCCCACATGACATGGCCAAAATAAGTGAGACACTGTTTTGTGATTTTGCCTTTCATTTTAATAAATCTAAAACATGCCCTATCTAAATAAAAAAAGGTGGACTCTACCATTTTCGGGAATAGTGTGCTTAATCTAAATCAGGTATACAGGTAGTCGCCATTTCACCATCAAACTGGGATCAGTGAAGCCGTCACTTAGCAAAGCGGTCACTAAGTGATACTGCTATGGTGCTTGTGAGCTTATTTCAGCTTTCCTTCTCTTTGCAGACCTTTGAAGGTCGTAAATGCAAGAATTGGTCACAAAGTTATATTTTTATCACTTTTGAACACTCACTGTATGAAGCAATCGCTAAACGCTAACTGTATGTTAAAAAATAACTTCAACTAAGGTGCAATATGAAGTAAATGATACATAATCTTTCAAAAAAATCACAAATTCTAACAGGTTATAAATCAATGCCCAATATAAGTTTGCTTACATTTCATTCTCTAGCGAACAAATATATTTGCCATAGTTGAAAATAAAAAAAAAATCCACTAGAATAACATTCATACAATCGAACCAAATGCTTTGGTATGCTTTATACCAAATATTTATGTTGCTTAATATTGTGAATATCCCCTAATTTGAACCCACTGAACAAAGTAAACACTCACAATTTTCACCTGTAAAATGTACTTTGCAACCAGTTCACTTGACAAAGTTAAAAAATTATCCCAGAATTATCCCCCACTCCATCAAGATTGAAATATATTGAAAAGTGACAGAGGAGAATTACAAGTTCAAGGACATCAAGATTCTGCTAAAAGAATAGCAAACAAAAATAAATAAGGCTAGAGTAATGACCAAGAAGAGGCAGCAAAAGAGTATCTCTAATTAATATTTGTGAATGATTGCATTTCTTTAAACATTATAGCACATAAGTAAAATGTCTAACAGAAACAACCATGGATCACAGTTCAAGATCCACCTATCACCAGAGTGACAGATCACATACAAAAACCCACCCTTATCACAAGATAAAGACAAAATGCATGAAGTATTTTGAGAAAGCTTCAGTTTGTCTATCTATAAGAATAATATGGCTAGTTCTCTGGCTATGGTAGAGAACTCAAAACTTTGTGCAGTCCATTAAAGGCCAGGAATTTTCTAAGAATTTCCCTCAAGGTTAGTGTGGTAGAAAGAACATTCCTAAATAGTCATCCTATTATCTATAATTAATGTAATCTAATTATAATTCAATTAAAATTAAGTTCAAAGTTTTTTGAGGTAGACTGCGCTCCCCCACCATGCCACCCAAAGGCCATGTGGAGCCTTCTAGTTCAGTTTACTGGATAAGAGTGACCAATATGCATCAGCAAGCCCATAGAAGATAGAATTCTCTCTGTCAAAGATTAATGCCAAGAAGTATCTGCTCTCTTTCCTTTGAACAGACTATAGTGCTTTCTTACCACATGGCAGGAAGTGCATTAAAATTACCTTTATTCTGTGAAGTCGAAGAATATCACCAATTCTGTAGATCTGTGGAAGGGCATCTTTGTCTCGATTAAAAAATAAACACCTCAGCTTCACATTGGACTGATCTACAATGGTTGCCATTGAACAATAATCTGCACATGTTGAGAAAAAGAATAAAAAAGGACATATTTGTCATGTAAAGAAATCCAGGTTATTTCTTTGTTTTTCATTTCCCTGTCACAAATGACACATAGTACATTGGCATATAAATACTAAACTGTAAAATTCCATATGACTTTACTACTAATTCCTTGTCAATCTTTCAGTGCCAATACAAATAAATGAAAGCAATATTTGAAAAGTTCATATAACAAATAGCAAAATGTGGTTAATTAGTAGCAGATTGATTCTATCAATATCTTATTTCTTACACAAAATGTCAGTTGTGTTGCTGCCACTATAACAAATTGTATTCTTTTCAATCAATTAGATCTATCTGCTTATTTAAAATCAAGAAACAATATGAATTGTTGAATGGATTAATAAAATCCAACCTATTTCATAATTGTTATCAGACAATTTGTTATCAAAATATTTGTCTGAACCATGAATTTAAATGTTTTTTAAAATATAGTTTTTATATATGAAAGTAATTCCCTGACAATTTTTTTTACAAAAATAAACAAATAAAACAAGAAAATAAATCTTGCTTGCTAATTTTCCAAAAGTTTTAAAATATACAATAAAATGTTCTTGCTCTGTCTCAGCAAAACAAAAACATATCCATCTCTTTTCATACATTACACTCAGAAACAAATAAAACATCTCACAAAAGCTTTTAAACAGAAAACTATTTTGTTTGGATGCTTATTTTTGAAAAACTTGCAAATTGACTTAATATAGAAATCAATGGCAGATGTCTAAGACATTTCTAACTGCGTGAAACTTGTGTCACTTTTCACAGGTAGGAAGAACTCTGTTCCAGCTATTGTCTTCTGAAGAGACACAGATGAGAAAGAACATCTTTGTTTGTGCAATAGTATAATAATCTAGTGCAGCAGAAAATCAAGATGGGCAAATCAGCCGGAATTCCAGCTAAATTACTGTTACAATTTATAGCTCACTGTTTTGTTCTGCCACGGTCAAACTTACGTTTGTCCTCTTTCCCTTAAATCAGGGGTATCAAACTAAATTTCATTGAGGGCCGCATCAGCACTGTGGTTGCCCGCGGGGGGTGGGGGGTGCCTAGCGTGAGCGTGGCCTACTGGGTGGGTGCAGCTGGGGTCGGCGTGGCCTACTGGGTGAGCGTGGCCAGTTCAAAATTGCTTGCATCAGGGGCACCTGTGCAGGCCTGGACAGGCCTGAGATGGATCCAAGGGTCTCTGGGGGAGGGTGGGACCAGGGTGAGCGCCGGGACATGGTCCCCTGGAGAAGCCTCACCGTCCCTCTCAGGCTATGCGGGCCTGGACGGGAGCATGGGCTGCCCAGAGCCTTGGGTAGCAGAGGTCAAGCGCCCAGCCCTTTAGTTCAGGGACCCTGCAGCCCAGCCTAACCTTACTTAACCCAAGGGGCGCCCAGCTGCGCATATCTCCTTCTCGAGGCAGCTGCTGCTGTGCTTGCTCTCCTTGGCCAAGTTGCTCATGGTGTTGCGGGAGGGCAAAATGTGTGGGTCAGAGGGAAGCCCACTCCCTCTCCATGTGAGGAGACCCGACTTTGTAACCAAAGCATCCTCAGTGACAAGATGGGAGATCACCAGGAGAGGTCAAGAGGAGGGGACAAGGGAATGGCGAAAGGCAGCAGGGCTGCTCAGGGCCAAGAGCTAAGGCAGGACTTTCCTCAGATCCTTCCTCCCTCTCATTATACCCTTCCTTCCTTCCTTCCTTCCTTCCTTCCTTCCTTCCTTCCTTCCTTCCTTCCTTCCTTTTTCCTTTCCTTTCCATTCACCTTTCCTTCTTCTTCCTTCCCCTCTTTCCTTCTTTTTGTTTGTCTTTCCTCTTTTCCTTTCCTGTCCCTTCTTGGATACTCAAATGCAAAAGGGGAAACATTTCTCGATGCCTCCTTGCCTTGTGATCAAATGCCACTTTTGCTAGTAGTCTGTGGCCACTTGAAAGACCAAGAACAAACCAGGCTCAGTTTATCCCATGCTTGCATTTAGTGGGGGCGTCCACAGACAACAGTACAGCAGTCAAAATGGTGGCTGTGATAGTTGATCAGAGCTTCTGTTTTTTTTTATGTGCAATAGCTTTAGCATTTAGGAACAGAGGTAAGTTAGTTGCTTTTCTATTAATACATAATCCTTAAAAGAGCTCTCCTGCAGGAACCCTGCCATAGTCTAATTCAGACTGGAAATATAGCAAAGGAAAATATTTTTCCCCACTCTGCTTTGTCCTGTTTTCCCCACTGGAAATGCTGTTTGCAACTCACAAGGAAGGGATACTTTCCTAAGAGTTCACAATTCAAGAATACCAGTGTTAACTTGGATTGCCAATAAAGTCCCGTCTGTAATAAAAGAGAACACAAAATTGCTTTCTCCTTTGAGCCCAAGTCTCAATAGATCCAAGCAGAACTGCGTAAACTGGGGTATGTCCAACCATGTTGCCTCTCCTTCCTTTTTTCCCTCCCTCCCACCCTCCGTTCCTTCCTTTTTTCCTCCCTTCCTCCCACCATCCCTTCCTTCCCCCCTCCGTTCATCCCTTCCTTCGTTCCTTCCTCCCTCCCTTTTTTCCTTTCTACCCTTCCTTCATCCCTCCCTCCATTTCTTCCTTCGTCCATTTGTTTCTTTGCCTTCTCATCTCTTTCCTTCCTCTGCGTCAGGAAGGGGTGATGGGAGGGGAAGAGATTGCCAGTGCTGCCATGTTGCCACCGGTCTTGCTATCTAACATGGGTGGGTGGGGACTGTCCCTAGTTGCATCCATCAAAGCCAGAATGCGCTCAGCCTTAGATCCATAGGGCAGCCCTGGAACCAGCCTTGGAACCAGCAATGACCTACCCCGCCACCTCTGTCCTGCCCCCACGGTGTGCGCATAGGAACCAGCCAGCGCAGGCATCCTGGGTGAAGTCAGCCTACGGGGCAAGATAGCCAGCAGGGATGCCAGATTCTGTTTGCGCGTGCACCCAGGGGCAGGGCAGAACTGCCATGTGGATCTAAGGCTGAGCGCATTCTGGCTTTGATGGATGCAGTCAGGTTGTAGATCAGTGCCACCACCTTCCCACCAGCACCTCCAGCCTCAAGGCTTTCCTTTCACTGGGACCGTCCCCACCCATCCACATGGGATAGCGAGACCAGCAGCAGCATGGCAGCACTGGCAATCTCTCCCCCTCCATCATCCCTTCTTGAGCACAGAGGAAGGAAAGAGCCACAGGACTGCCCTGGAATCAGGAAGGAGCTGCCTCGCTGCCTCTGCCCTCTGGGTGTGCGCAAAGAAGAAAACCAGCGCTGACGTCCTGGGTGAAGTCAGCTTGCGGCGCAAGACAGCCAGCAGGTACACCGGACTCTGCTTGCACACGCACCCATGGGGAGGGGCTGCCATGTGGATCTAAGGCTGAGCACATTCTGGCTTTGATGGACACAACCAGGTTGTAGATCAGTGCCCGGTTGGCCTGGATCAGGCCGAGGTTTGACGGGCCAGTCCTTTGTTGTTTCCAGAGCAGGTCCCCGGACCGGACAGAACCACACAGCGGCCGGCCCCAGCCTGCGGGCCTAGTGTTTGATATGTCTGCCTCCAAAAGTGGTGAATGCTCCAACACTGGAAGTTTTTAAGAAGAGACTGGACAGCCATTTGTCTGAAATGGTATAGGGTTGCCTGCCTGAGAAGGGGATTGGACTAGATGACCTCCAAGGTCCCTTCCAACATCATCATCATTATTATTATTATATCATTTTCTTTCAGTAGTGCTGAATCTTGGTTTCTAATTTTAAAGGTAGGATGTAGAGAATGTGCATATTTTTCTTTACGCAATATCTAACCAAAATATAATACAAATTGCTTTCAGTAAACTCAAATGCATAGTAAATCTGTCCCTCACATGACAAAATTCCAGCTTGAAAATATTCTTATGGCAACGTGTGAATAGTCACAGGACTACTGATCTGTTTTGACCAATCAGAAATGGATTACTACACTTTTCTCTAAGGGCATTAAATAAAAAATGTAAATAAGCCTAATTAAATTGAATGGGAATTATACCTACTGCATATAGACAAGAACAAAACTAACTTTAAACTTAAAAAATCTTTTTAAAGGTAAAAGAGCACATTGGAGAGCTATTTTAGTATGTTCCAAATTATTACAATCTCCATGAAAAATGGAAACTATTACTGTAAGATTTTGTAACAGGTTTATTGGAATGGACCCTCCCTGTATTGGACATTAATAATAACTGATAGCTCTTTTATTCATTACTCTATTTGTAACTTTATTTATATATTCTGCATTTGATCAAAAGAAAAACTGAAGTCAATGTGACATATAGAATGCCCCCACCTGCTTTACAACATATATTTGCAATCACATTGTGATTACATGTACATTAGTTCTATAAAAAGATCTCAAAATTATGCTAGTTACCAATATCCTACTGAATACCACTAAAAAGATCTTTATCGTATCTACAGATTTAATTTACTGGAAAGCATACCAGCTTTGCTTTGTAAATATTAGCAGAAAAATAAGATAAGGAAAAAGTGATCAAGATGATCAGAGAGCCAATAAATCTTCCAACAGGAAATGGTGGTGAAAGGGAAACAGGCCAGATGCCTTTTACATAAAGCTGCGGAAACTGAATTGTTTAAATGGGGATCGTTCCTTAAATGAGTGATGGTGTTGTTGTTGTTGTTTTTTTTGGAAAAAAAGTGATTATCTAGTTTATTAGATATGCTATACATATTGTATATTCATAGAACGGCAATAAAATTGTTGAAATAAATAATTAAAATCATAAAGAATACCCTTCAATTGAAGGTTCAAGAATACCCTGATCTATTCAGAATTCAGGCAGAAAGAAAAGAGTTAATTGTGAATAACTGCTGTTGTGGCAAGTTCTTCAAGAGTACCAGACCATCTTATTTGTCTCTTGAGAAACCTATATGCGGGTCAAGAAGCAACAGTGAGAACTGGTCACGGAACCACTGATTGGTTCAAAATTGGGAAAG